CTTGAGCTTGAAGGGCCGTAATTGCATCTAACTCCAACACTCCGGGAACTTTCTTAGCTCCACTAACCGTCCTCTCGCTTGACTTGGCAAACCGATTTTGAGCTATTTGATCCAACATGATAAACGCATCGGGTATTGATTGACTCATAAAATTACCTCCGGTTGATGCATCTAAGACGGTTCGTGCATTCTCGTTAATCCCTTGGTAAAAGATGTGGATTTGCCGCCATTGTTCGACTCCATGTGTTGGACACTGCCGCAAAAGAGTTTTAAATCTCTCCCATGCCTCGTATAATTGCTCGCCTTGCTCTTGGACAAAATTGTGAATTTCTCGCCGGATTCTCTCGTCCTTCTCGGGTGAGCTATAGACTTTCATGAAAAGGTTGAGGAGTTGAGGCCACGACGAGATAGAGTGGGGTGCTTGGGACATCAACCACTGGCGAGCTCTTCCTTGTAGGGAGTGCTTGAAGAGAATTAATTGAAGCGCCTCTTGGGAAACGCCGTTTTGACGGTGAGAATTACAGGTATCTAGAAAATTGACAATGTGAAGATGGGGATCTTCACCTGCCAACCCGCTAAATAGCCCGTTATTTTGGAGCATCGTCAAAAGGCCTTGTTTGATCTCAAAATTATGCGCCTCAATGGGTGGATATTGGATGCTCGGGCGGAATCCGTCTAGCGTTGGGATTATGTAGTCTTGAAGTGCCCGTGGACGAACTGCTGGTTGTGCTGGAAGTTGAAGGGGAGGGTCTTGGACTTGGTTTCCGTTGGCCTCGAGTAAATTGCCCGGGGCCCTGCGTTCTTCGTCCTCCATTATATTATTTGCGCGTTGTCGTCTCCTAGCGGCTCGAAAAGTTCGTTCGATTTCGGGATCAAACGGTTCTCTAGCAAGATCGAGTCTCCTGCGCATACAACGTACCTAAAACAAAAATAAAATAAAACGAAAATTAAATGGGTGAATCGTGAAAATTGTTCAAATCTAGAGCTAGAATAAAATAAATAATTAAAATAGTCCCCGGCAACGGCGCCAAAAACTTGTTGGGCGAAAACCTACACGCAAGTGCACGTATCGTACAAGTAATAAAGTGGATTTTTAAGTCCAAGTATCGATCCCACAGAGAATATTTAATTATCTAATCCTAGACGCTAAATTCTACCAATTATTATCAAGCCCACCCTACACAGTCGACTTTAGAGAGAATTAAAATAAATTAAAAGGCAAGCAAAAAACAAGAAAGCAATTTAAAACGAAGATTTAATCAAAGTAAACAAGCCTAGGATTTTATTATTCCCCCTATGTGATTATTACTCCCCCAATTCCTTCAATTATGCAAGCAATTAACCCGGATTATTAACCTGAGATGCTAAAATAATCATAACCCGCTTCCGCGTGTATTACGATTCTAATACTCTAGATTCAATTACTATATTCCTATGCAATTAATTCTAGAACACAGCATTAAGTACAAATCTCAATAATGGCTACCTAAGAGATTAACTATATTCCTATGTTAATACCACAAAGGCTCTTCTACCACAGTTCTAATTATTAACCCGATCTTCCGATTCATGCGATTAACAATAACATAAAAGCACATAAGTTGATCAAGTTCATGCACTTAATAAAACAAGTAGAAGAAATAATCCGGAATTAAAACTTGCATAAAATCATAGAATTGGGTTCATAAATCCCACATAGGGTTCCAAATAAAATCCTAGAAATAAAGACTTAGCTACTCGTAGTTCTTATGATAAAGAAAATAAAATAAATAAATAAATAAGAAAAACTATGCTTGAGTCTTCGTTGATCTTCGTTCCTCGCAATTTGTGGTGTAAAATTTCGTGCTTATGGTGTGGGGACTTGTTGCTTTTATAGGCTTTTCTTGATAAGGAAGTAGTAGAAACCTAATAGGAATCTATTTCCGCCACTTTTCTCCACCAGGATTTGTTCTTCAATTTTCGCCATGTTGGAGTCCGAATTTAGGAATGTTGCGTAAATAAGAGTTGTAGCCCTTGAAATTAGCTTTCCAATGCCGCCAAAATCAGCTTATTTGGAGTTCGTATGAGAGAGATATGCTCGAAATGGTGGACACTGCCAAAGCTGTGGCGGGATTCCTTCTTCCAATTCGATTTATTTCCTTATTTGCAACTTTTTCCTTTCTTTTTGATCTTTTTTCCTTCATGGACACCTAATTATCGTTTTCACCTATAAAACACAAAATCAATCAATTAAAAGCACAAATATAATTAAATCTAAGATCCACGTAAAGTAAACGTATTGAGCGTAAAATTTACACTCAACAGCACACCTCATGTTTGAGTAATTACAAAAGTTCCTTTGAGGTATGCTGCCGTATTACAAATTCTCTCCAACGGTGTTACTTTTAACAGAATCTTTTTGATTTTTTTGGAAAATTCCTCTGAAAATGCCCTTTTTGCCCTTTAACATGTGATAAGTATAAACATATTAATTACTTAGGGGTAAATTGTAATATATTTAAAAAAATATAGCTATTTTTATCTTTAAAACTAAATATATATAACACAAACTATGTAAATAAATAATTAAATACATCTTTGTAACATTAAAAGTTTTTATTTGTTTTGTAATTTCTTGTTTCCATTATGAAATATTTTATAATTTTTATTCTATAAAAATCAATTTTATGTTACAAATATGTCATTATTATTAAATAAATTTTTAATAACTCGAACAAGTTTCCCGCATTATTCTCCGGCAACATACCTCTGGAGGTTTTTATAATATCGCATATATGAGGTGATTTTCGCAATTAGACATTATACATTTTATTTGAGTTTAAACGATCAAACACTGGTCATAAGGGTGTTTTCATAATTACGCAAATATGATGAAGACTTTCGTAATTACTAATTAGGCCTTACCTCAGAAGTTTCTCGTAATTTGCCACAGTATTAAAACTTCTATATGTTAATAATATTGGAAAATATTTGTGGCAGGTGGTCTAAGATAGCAGCACAATTACCAGGCAGAACAGACAATGAAATCAAGAATCATTGGAACACCAAAATCAGAAAGAAACTGCGAAGCATGGGATTAGATCCCATCACACACAACCCCATAAATTCAGCTTCAGAAAGTGATCAGAAAAAGATTGAGTTTCAAGAAACTAGTGTTTGTATTGATGAGTCTAAATTATTATTAGATTCTCAGTTAAAACAAACTACTTCACAACCCCACCTTTTTGTATTTTATTTTCTCGGGATAAAGATCTGGATTATATAATCAAGAATCTGGATTTTGGATCTCCGTTTATGTTTCCAAACATGGAACAATCAATGGATCATCCTATGCAGATTAATTGGATGGATAATCCCTTTTTGTGGGATAGCTTCAGCAATTTCGGAGACAATTTTCCGTAACTTATTTTATTGTTATTTAAGGAATCGTAAGTTTTATACTATGTTGCATCGAGTGAAATACATCAGGTATATCGTTACTATTCATAAGCACGCAAATGCACACACATCTACATTGGTGTGCGTTAAAAATCCATCCGATGTAACCTTCACTGGGTGTAGCATAAAAATAACCGGAATTGTAGAATGTAAATTGTTTTATTCATATGTCAATTTGAACTTCATTAACTTATTTTAGATATTTTCTTTTGAGTTGCCAATTTGTGCTATTTAACTGAGATCTTTTTTTTTCTTCCGGGATTTGGTTTTCATCAAATGTAAATTTTCTTCGTGGTAAATACATCGAATATTTTCGTTTCGAAAAGCGTCTACACCGTGCATTCTTTTGATTTTTGTCATATTTTATTAATTTTAATGTTTTGAAAAATGTTATTTTCTTTGTATTTTTAATCTCCAATCTATTATTTTCACTTTTACGTACGTCACGTACTTTTTACTATTTTTTCTTTTGTTTATAGTTTATATTTTTCCAGTTTTTATTCTCCAAATCTGTCAATCGACCGCCCCTATTCGATCACCCATGATCATATCCGACAATCCTTCAACCACTCATGACTAGATCCAACCCAAAACTAAGTTCGTGAAGGTTCGCTCAAATCTAGCCACAAATAACCAACTCAGCGGTGGTTTGAGAAGTTTTGACCAAAAACCGGGTTCCTTTACTGTTTTCGGCTCCTGAGTTTTACCCGGTTGAACCGAATTTTGGTCATTTGTCATTTTTATTTTTTCCAGATTTTAGAGTTCAGACTGGACCACTTCATCGTCGGGTCACGGTCAAACCGGTCCGACTTGCCAGTTTGATCCGGTTCTAACAACATTGGTTTTAGCATTGCGGACAAGTTTCATGTCCGAAACTCGAGGACACCTTAAGGGCCGTTTTGCAATTTTTAAAATATTAGAAGCAAATTTTAAAATATGTTTGTTACTTCCCTAATTATTTACATGATTTAACGAACAATTACAAACTGATAGTTGGTAGTTCAATTTATTTTGAATATGTTTGTATGAAAATATATAAAAATAATTTATAAATAAATAAAAACTTATACATATTTATATAGCATATTTATAAATATACCACTATACCTGTAATATTCACACGTTTTCTCCAAGCTCCCGTATCCCTATTTTTTAGAAATGTCGTTTTCATGTATCGCCGTTTCCGTGTCTGTGCTACATAGATTAAAAGTAAAAAAGAAAATTAAAAAGGAAAATGGCTTTTTCAAGATAACATATAATACCTTCTCTTAATATTTTTTTTATAAGCAAAAAACAATTAATTATTTTATCTACAAATTTATATTCATCAAATATGGTGTAATTGTTCTAGTTCCATGGCCCATTAGCCGTTACACTTGTCTATACTTCAATAAATTAATAGGCGTTTAATAAATAATAATATGTTTTCCTCCAATTAAAATTAAATTTAAGTATCACCAAAAATTAAAAAAATTAAAAAAAACAAAAACAAAAAAACTAGCCGTTGGTTCTAGTGCCAGTGCGATTCAGGGAACAAAACCCAAGTTCCTCTCTCTCTCTCTCTCTCTCTCTCTCTCTCTCTAGCACAAACAAAATTCAATCGCGAAAACTTTTCTGTTTTTCCCCATCATTTTGAGTTTGATTTCACCACTCGTTCACCTTGAAATCAGATTTACACTCAAATTTGATTCGAAAAACAAAGAGAGATTTAAGTGTGTGAAGAAGAACAACAAAAATCGGCTGATAATTGAAGAAAAAAATCAGTGGGTTTTGTTTAATTTGATCGTTATCGCTGAAAGGATTCATGGGGGAATCTTCGCCGTGCCTTGTTCGTTCATTTTCTCAGCCTTCTCCCACTTCCAGTGAAGAAAAAAAGGTTTTTATTTATTTACTAATTTAAATTTTTTTTTTTAATTTGGGTTAAATGATCTATTAGGGTTTCCTATGTTTCCTGAAAATCTTTATTTTTTGTAGAAGGATATGAAATTTGATGTTTTAGTTAATTGAAATGGGTATAATGTGATTTCATGTTTCTTCATATGCAGTGGGTTGCTTGAAATTTTACTTTTACTAGTTTCAAATTCTCGGTGCTTGGTGTAATTTGAAAACCTAATTCTGAAATTGGGATTCAGGAAATGTGACATTGGATTTCCGATTCGATTTTTATCCGAAGCGGATTAAGAATCCTTAATCTTAGTTGAGCTCAATGTTAATTTTTTTTCCAAATCAGTGAGAATTGTGTACCAGATTTCAATTGTGAAGTTGAATATACTTTGGGAATTGATTTCATAAGATAAATCTCGGGTTGTTTTCAGAAATCGAAAAGGCATGATAACATACGTTGGGAAGCTTATATGTGCAATCAATAGATCATTTAACAGTCGTAATAAAAATGCAATTTCTTGATTAAGCTACAAATATTATTTGCAGGGGAATAATCCTCTACAACGGGCACTAACAACATCGATATCGTTCGGTAGATTCATGTCCGAATCGTTGGACTGGGAAAAATGGTCATCTTTTACTCAAAATCGACACTTGGAAGAAGTCGAGAGGTACTCTAAGCCCGGTTCTGTCGCTGAAAAGAAAGCTTATTTCGAAGCCCATTTCAAAAGGAGAAGAGCTGCTGCTTTGCTCGAGCAGCAAATTGCCGAAGCTAACCACTTATCCGAAACGAATTCGGAAAATAAAGTCGAAGATAATATCAATGTGGTTACTGAAAAGAATATAAAGGAAGAAGAAGAAATTCAGAACAACGACCCTGTTTTTCCCGTTGCTCAAAGTGGTTCTTGTGATGAAAATCCAGTTGAACTAACTAACCATCTTGAAAATAACGAATTTGTCGATGATATTGTGTCGAAGAAAGTGGATACGGTGCGTGTATTAATAAGATGGAAAGTAAATTTAGTTACTTACAAACTGATTTTGTTTTTGTTTTGTTCATGTTGTGTTTCAAGGATGATTCTGCTACGGAAAAATCGGCTTCGTCGAGTATGAAGAAGATTCCTTCTGTTAAACCGATAATAATGCCTGTTCAACTCAAGAATAGTGAGAAGACTCCACACAGCATAAGCAATATGAAAGACTCGAGCAACAAAAGGAGATCGTATACAACATCCCTTCACATGTCTATCAATTTTGCTTCGTGTTCTGGCGAAACCCGAAAAGTCGAATCTCCAATAATGCCGAAAATTGCTAACGCCACACTCGTAAGGGGTCCTGCCAAGAAATACAAAAATAACTTGCTTCCCCAAACTTCGACTAGGGTGCGTTGTACTTTTTGTCCCTTTTTTTCTCATTTACTTCCCTTCGGTGTTTTTATTCTCCTTGAGAAGATATACAATGAGAAAGCTGTATTTAATCGTAAGTGCAGGCATCTGTAAATGGGATATTGAAGCCTCATTCGGCTTTACCTCCAACAGAAAACAAAAGGTCTCGTCTTCGCAGACTTTTGGAAAATAGATATAAATATATATTTTATTTTATTTTAAATCTAGGATCTAATGTATTTGATTGGTTAATTTATATACAGGACCATAATAGCAGACGGTAATTCAATTTCACGAAGCAGAACAGTGGATGCGAAAGTGCAATCTCCATGTACAAAATCGACAAAGTAAGCATTTTCGGCTGGTTGTTTTTACGTTACTTTCTGTAAAACGTATTGGAATTGGTCTCGATTGTTGATTTATATGATTAAATATATTATTTAATCAAGTTCGAATGTGCATAAATAAACCTATCAAGAATCGTAAAATCTGATACGAGAACCTTAATTGTTTTTTCAAACTGTGTTTCAGCTACTTGAAATCTTCAAGTACATTTGGTAGCAAACCACGGTTACCAAGCGCGTCTTCTTCTTTCACACTCAAGAGTGAAGAAAGAGCAGAAAAACGAAGAGAGGCAAGTCAAATTTCGTCGCACTTAAAATACACTAAATAAATACTCTCGATTTTCTTTCGTCACTTCTCATGGTTATTAATTTATTTTATCCTACTTCAGTTTTTTCAGAAGCTTGAGCAGAAATTGAAACCGAAGGATACGGAGAAACAACAGCAACTGCTACATGCAAAATCACAGGTTTCCGATTACTATAATCTTAATATAAATTTAGTATACACAGTAACAAACAACATAAGATAAGATATCACAATGTTATCATTTTCTCGTTTTGCAGGTCAGAAGAAGTTATTCTAACGGTCTTCGTAATTCAATTGCGTCGAAAGCAACAAAAGACGCCGAGGCTCCTACTAAAGTAGAACCACCAAGTAACTTGACGAAAAAGGTATTGTACTTTTCGCTTATTTCGATAAGCTATATATATATATATATATATATATATATATATATATATATATATATATATATATATATATATATATATATACACTCACACACACACACATACGACTGTCGATATTTATAGTTAAAGTTGTGCAGATACCAACCGTGAGACCTAAAGTCGAAGAGAGAGCTGCTTTAAAAGTTCAAGATAATGATACAAGACCCCGTTGGAATCTCTCGGTGAAGCCGTTACAAGGAACAAAGGATTTTACATTGAAAAATAGTCGGCCGCCAAATTATTCTGCTAAATTTTCTTCGAAGAAAAGTTCGAACGAAAATTCTTCCCCAAATATCCCGCAGCTTTAGCTTTACGAGGGGAAAAAAAAAAAGAATCGTAATCACCGTCGATATTATAACTAAAATTCTTTTAGTTGTTTGTTTGTTCCTAAGAATCGAAGTCACCGTCGATATATATGTATTATACACATCAGGAAAGTTTTGATTCTCCTTTAAAGCATTGAAAACATATTTTTACGGAAACTATTTTCATCGATGCACACGGTTGAGTGTAAATTCGAGAGATATTCGAGGCAATTCTATTATTAAAAATAAGAGACTCATTTTTCATGCAAAGTTGCTCAAAATAAAACCAGAAAATATAATCAAGAAGTAATCAAAGTATTGTTGTACATTTAGAGGCAAAACAGAATATTCCTTGCAATCAATTAATCAATATATTCTACATACTAATAACAACTACTACTGAGCAGTACTAAGTGAAGGTGCATATAACTGAGCAGTACTAAATGAAGGTGCATATGCACCTTCATTTAATTGACCTTGATATTCGCTCGGATACTGCGGATAAGGAAACTGCGACGAAGATTCACCGATAAGGTCATCTGGTCCGATAAAACCAAAAGATTCCAAATTAACAAAAGCGGGACTCGGTGTATTACAAAAACCTCCGTGAGAAGAAGAACTTGAAGCGTAACCATTGAAACCCTCTTCCCAAATTCCACAAGACGATCGGAGACTATCGTACATCGGTTTATTGGGAAAATAATCGACTTGCGTATTTTTACGAGTCACCGTAGCAAGTGGAAGATGATTCTCAAACCGATTATGAAAATACGGATTAGGTGGCGGTGGTTGATTGAATTGAAACGGAGGTGCTGATTGAGTATTCCAAGCTTGTTGTCGTAGTTGTAGTTCCGGTTTAGGTTTAACTTCCGAACCAAACGCTCGATTGTAATTGATTGGCGAGATTGTAGTGTTACTACTTATTGGAGGATGATGATTCATCGCGTCTCCTCTGTTTTTGCTGCCGGGCCCACTAGATGCCGTTTTTAGCTCGTTTTCTTTCTCCAACCTGCTCAAGTATAGTCTATACTTCTGAAAAAAAAAATCATCCAAAAAAAAACGTCTTAAAATACGTAACTTTGCTAAATGAAGCTTCTTAAAAAAAGTATGACGAATATTTATTTATTCACCTGCAAATGGCTAGCAACATTTTCTCTCGTTAGCCACGGCACTTCCATAAAGTCGAGTATTCTCTTCGGTCCAACTTCTGTTTAAAAAAAATAATAACAAATAAATCAATACGACGACCATGGATTACTGCAACAATATAGGAAATTACTAAAATACCCTTGCCATTAGTGGTTTCTCGACTAGTTGTCTTTCGATTAAGTACGAATGATAAATGACAACATTGGGAAATGTGCAATTAATGCTTCGAAATTCTGAAGCGACAAATATTTTAGAACAATAAAAACTCTACAAAGAGACGACAAATAATTATATGGGAAGAAGGGATGATGAACTTACTATCGATTCCGAAATGATCAACGGCTTCAATAAACTTCTGATGAAGATCAACTGACCAAACTACCCTTGCTTTCTTCGTAGACGATTGAGGATCTCTTTCCTGGCTGCTGCTGTTGTTGTTGTTGTTATTGTTAACGAGATCTTTCCTTTTATCACCGGATAAAATATCGTCCGACTGAATTTGATCAACCGACTGAATTTGGTCAACGCTTTGTTGTTGACCTTCGATATCTCTCATTTCACGTAATCTTTTTCTGTACACGTGTTGCCATATGTATCGAAGCACCTTCGTTTTTAACGGCTTGACAAAATAATCGCATGCCCCGTTTTCGATGGCTTTCTTCGCTGTGCTCGTCTCTCCGTCCGCTGACATCACTGCGTGATGTAATAATAATAAGGATTACTATTATACATTTATTAAAAAGAAATGACATAATTATATGAATATGCATACGAGTGAAGAGAAAAAACGACTCACTTATTACGGGGAGATCCATTTTCAGACGAACGTGTTCTAGAAACTTCAAACCGTCCACGTCATCGAAGATGCTGACGTCACTGATTACAATGTCGAATCCGTTTTTTTGTTTTTGAAGCAGATTCAGTGCTTCTTGACTCGAATTACACGTCGCCACTGAAAAATCGTAAACGACAACTATTACACACATATGAATTACCGTGATTAAACCCCCTCCATAATAACAAAAAATAAAAATTAAAAATAAAAAAATAAAAAATTAGCGGAGTCATCGATTCGTTCGACTAGCTAGGGTTGACGAACTCCAGTCGACTCTCGAATTTCATTTACGCTCTATAATATTCGATATTATCGTCAATTCATTTAGCACATCCAATCATGGATATAAATTCACAAAAATGAAACTACACATGATCAAATTACGGAACATAATTTCGAAAAGTTCGATTTATTTTATATTTTTAATTGAATGTAACAGGTATTCATTTACTTCATACTTTATGCTAAAAAATCTAAAATAACAAAAAAAAAAAAAAAAAAAATTAGCGGGGTCATCCATTCGTTCGACTAGCTAGGGTTGACGGACTTCAGTCGACTCTCGAATTTTCTTTTACGCTCTATAGAAATAAATTCGCAAAAAAATGAAATTAGCGTATGCGAAAAATGTAAAACAAAAATCGGGAGCGCTGCCCTCGAACCCCGTTTGAATCTTGGTTCCGCCACTACAGCCAATCCATATATATAATAAACCATTCAAGAAAAGATTATATTAATCAAAAAAAAAAAACCTTGATAGTTACACTTCCGAAGCATATGCTCGAGATTGTTCAAGCATGCAGGATCACCATCGATGCCGAGAACCCGAAGGACCGGTGAGAAAGAACCGGGCCCCTTCGAAGTGAACCGGTTCGGATCCATTCAAGAAGACGAATAGAGTAGTGAGCAAGAATGGAACTGCAGTTGCATATGAAAAATGAGTTTGTGCAACAAGTGTTATATATTTTAGAGAGAGAGAAAGTAGAGAGATAAACTAGAGAGAGAGAAACTAGAGAGAGAGAGAGAGAGTTAGTTAGTTATGAAAAAGTGAGAGAGGAGTAAGAATCCAATACTCGACGGACGCCGTGTATGTAGCTTCTTTTTGTTTTGTGTTTTTCTGTTATTTATTTAATTAGTTAATTAATTATAAAATCTCAATTTCTTCTCACATCAGAATTTATAATACCAGCACGTGTTTATTAAGCGAAGAATTAATTTTGTTGTGGTTTTATAAACAATTTGTATTTTATTTATTTTCAAATACCCCAACCTCCCCGCCAAACAAGGGTACCGAGAAACAAGAAGCCAAAGTGGATTGGATTGCAAATAAATAATAAATATATGTTACGGTCAGAGGTTGTAAGTTGGAACGAAAATTCGATTTTCGCCAGTTCCGATTCAAAAAAATTCGATTTTGAAACAATTTTTTTTTTATTTCGATTATTTTTAAATAATTCCAAAAAAATGTGATTTTTTTCCGGAAAATACACCTATAAATAATATATATTATTATTTATAAATAATTCAAAATAAAGACTTTCATATGCAATTTGTCACGTAATTTTTTTAGTTTCTTTTACGTTTGTTATCTATTGTGCAAAGAGTCATAGTTTCAACTTTCAACTACAAGTCACAAAAATCACAACAGTAGTTTCAGGAAATGTCTGCTAAATTTTAAAATTTTATTATTTACGTGATTTCCGAAATTTTTGGGCCTTTTGGAATTAGAATGAGTTTTTAAATTTCAAAAATTTAGGAATTGAAACTGGAATTGATTTTGTACTTTCGAAATTTTTTGAAAATTTTCCGAATTTTCTGTGCCTTTTGTAATTATAATGAATTTTTAAATTTCAAAAATTTAAGAATTGAAACTGGAATTGATTCTGTACTTTCGAAAACTTTTGAAAATTTTCTAAAAAGGCTAATGTCGATCCGTTCATCCGACTTTTCACTCCTAGTTACGCTTTACTTTTGGAAAAAACAGCGAGACCCTCTCATTTGGCAAATTCATGTAAAAAAGAACTCTCTCATTTTGCCAATTTGAGAAAACCTCCTTCATTTTTCTAATTTCAGAGAACCCTCTAAAGTTAGACATGTTCGAGATTCCTTCGAATTGACTAACACGGAAAATCCTACAAAATTTCAGTTGACAGTAATGCATGTGCAGAGGAAATAAAGACGTGTTTCAATAAATATGACAACATACATCAAGCCCATAACTTCAAATTTTTATTCTATCAACAACAATAAGAGCTCGAACAATAATGATCTAGCAGATCATGAGTCAAGATAACTACGCTGTCTTATTTACTAAGTTTTTGTCTAAAATCACTGTGGAAAAACATGTTACGGCTATTCACCTTCGTAAATTATACGAGTTCGTTCCCTTGTAAACAAAATAGGGAGTTAACGTGAGGAGGAGAACCATGTAAGTCAGTACCCATAAGATATCCAGGTTCTATGTTGTACTCTTTTTTCTTCGTGCAAAGTTTATTTTTTCCACGGAGTTTTCACCACTCGCCAAGGTTTTAACGAGACTAAATATGTTGATTGAAAAAATTGTATGATATACTCTTTTTTCTAGCCGATTTTTTCTCCCACTTAATTTTACTACTCTGAAGGTTTTAACAATGCAAGACAAAAAACACAATAAAGATTTGATAGGAATCCCCACAAAAGTATTGTAAATAAACTAAAATATTGGGTTTTTTAATATAACCACTTGAGGGTTAATTACTTAATTCACATTATTTTCTTAACTTACCACACCTATATCCCATGATATTGGTAGGATAACTTCAATTGTAATTCTTTGTAACTTCCCAAAAGATTTGTGTCTATAGTTAGTGAGAAAAACTCTCTCCCTATCTAATCCACATAATTATCTTTTTATGAATTTTTTATTTTATTTTTCGCACTCTCTCTTTCTATCTTTATATTGTTGTTTACATTATACTATATTATACTAGTAATTGTATCCGTGCGATGCACGGACAACAAATTGCATTGTTTTGATGTTATAAGAATATAAACAAATGTTTGATGTATTGTATGATCAAAATTCTGTTATAATCATTCATTAATAATTCATTAGTGGAAAAAAATTAATTATACTAAAAAAAAAGAGTAAATAATTTTACTGTTGAATAATTTTCCAAATGAATTGAATCAGCTAATACCTGAAAAATTGAAAAATTGAACCAGAAACAAAATCATCAACTATATCTTTCATGTTGAGCTTAAATTAATTAGATTTAATAACTTAGTTAACATGATAAAAACTATACTATCGACAACATACCAACGTAAAAGGCCATCTATACATCTTGCATCTTAACTAAGCCATTCTCCACTGCCTCGTTTTGGTCTTGTTTTGCCACTGGAATTAACAATTGGAAAATTAAAAAACAAAAATAAATTAAATATTGCATACAAACAATAGGTCTTCAAGGCCGACTTCCAATAGCTCGTGGCTCCGCCCATTTTCGCTTAGTTCTTTCAACTCATCATTACAATAACATGTCCAATAACATCTAAAAGGAAATAATTGTTATACACAAAATTTGAAATCTTTGGTATAAATTAATGAAACACATAATTTAACAAAATGAAATTACCTATAAGCCATGATGGAAAAAGATGCAAACTAATTATCACACAGTCAATAGGATGAAGAAGAAAATAATTAAAACAAAAATTCTAAAGTCAGGTTACCAAAAGAAGAAGCCTTAGGTACGATGAAAAAATAAAATTCAAATGTTGCAGACATTCTGTAAAACAGTGTCAAAAAATCCGCTAGAGATGAAAATGAGATTTATTTACCCTTTTTGTAAATATCGAAAATCATATTTATTATGAACTATGAAGAGAAAACAAATTGCAAAATAGCTAATATTTTATGAAGCCACAAACATTTCGTAGAAACGGGGAGAGATAAAACTGGGGTGGAGAAGTTGAGAGGTGGGATATAAATAAGAAGATAAAACACAAAAAACACAAACGTGTTGAAGTAGAAGAGAGAAGTTGAAACTGTTGAGAGTCTTATATCTTTGGGAATATGATAATTAGTATTTTATCATCAAAAAATAATATTTAGTGTTGAGATGTTTATGGCTGAAATTAGGAGATAAAATAATATTTAGGGGATTAATTGGTTGTACATTAGAGATATTTATAGCTGAAAATATGAGTGATTGGGTTGTTTCGGGATAAAAAAAAATTGATAAAAATCGAAAATAATATTTAGGAGATAAAAATTTGATAAAAAAATCGAGAATAATATTTAGGAGACAAAATTTGATGAAAATCGAAAATAATATTTAAAATAATATTTAGGAGATAAAAAATGATAAAAAATAAAAAAATAACATTTGGGAGATAAAAATCTGCTAGAAATCAAAAATAATATTTAGGAGATAAAAGATTGATAAAATTGAAAATAATATTTAAAATAATGTTAATGAGATTAAATTTGATAAAATACAAAAATAATAATTAAAATAACATTTAGGAGATAAAACTTTGATAATTATCAAAAATATTATTGAAAATAATATTTAGGAGATAAAATTTTGATAAAAATTGAAAATAATATTTAGGAGACAAAAATCTGATAAAATCGACAATAATATTTAGGAGAGAAAAATCTTATAAAAATCTGATAAAACTCGAAAAAAAATTTTAAAATAAGATTTAGGAGATATAAATTTGATAAAATTCGAAAATAATATTTAGGAGATAAAATTTGATAAAATTTGAAAATAATATTTAAAATAATATTAGGAGATAATAATATGATAAAAATCGAAAATATTATTTAAAATTATATTTAGGAGATATAAATTTAATAAAATTCGAAAATATTATTTAAAATTATATTTAAGAGATAAAAATTTGATACAAATCGAAAATAATATTTAGCAGATAAAAATCTAAAATAATAATTAGGAGATAAAAATTTAATAAAAATCAAAAATAATTAGCAAGAACCCTCCATCTAGGAAAATAAGTTAAGGAAATACCCTCTCCGAAAAGTAATTAGATAAAACTCTATTACCTAATATTCCACCCAAATATTATTTCATAATTTCAAATCTACTCTTAATTGTCTAATATACTCTTTCAAAACCCTAGTTATGTTTTACGCCGTTTTTTTCTTTCTTTTTCTCTTTTCATCTCTTCCCACTCTCATCTCTTTCTCTCTCTCTCTCTTTTTCCTTCTCTACATAATCTGATCTGAGTGTTTGGTGGCGGTCCGACTATGGGGCAATGGTAGAAGGCGGCGCGAGCGGAGGTTTGGCGATTGGAGCTTCGAGGGGAGTCTCCACACTGGAGGAGATGCGCACGTTCGTCTATTTCTAAGATTTACTCTTTATTTATGGTTTTGATTTTCTGGATTAGTGTTTGTTGCCATTGTTTCTGGTTTGAGATTTGAAAATTGGAGATCGGGAATCTAATTGCAGATAGAAAGCTCAGAGTTTACGGGGGCTGCAAAATACGCACTCAAGGTAGTTTTGTTTCATTCTACTAATTTGTTATGGATTTTTAATCTAATTTTGCTGCATATTTTTTTGATATAGGTGGCTTTGTTTTGGTGATTTGGACCGTAGTACATGGTTATGTTTTGATTGTTTGTATAAAAAACCGTTAGAATATGGAAGTGGGGTGGTGATGGTGTGGTGTGGCGACGACGTGATGACGATGAAAAGCAGATCTAGGGTTTTTTGGTGGATTGTGGCAGAAGACGACGCAGAAAAAGAAATCCGCGCAGGCAAGGCCCTTAATCGACTACGTGTGGTTTAATCGACTATGTTCAATAGTCGATTAAGGCTTAATCGACTATGTTCAGTAGTTGATTAAGGTTAACTGACTCCAGTTGTTAATTTTTTTTATTTTTTTTTGATTTTTTGTTTATTGATTCCAATGTATAAATAAATTACAATGTTTGTATATTTTTTTTAAATATAGTTGATTTTGCATATTTTTTTAATTGTAATTTGTTATTTTTAATAGTTAAATGTTTAATCGACTATGCATTAATAAACCTGATAGAGAAAAAAAAAACAAAAAAAAATTAAAAACAAAATTAGAAACAAAAAAAATTAAAAATATATAGATTTTCTTAATCGACTATGAAACATATTTAAGGCTAATCTACTATGCTTCATAATCGATTAAAGAAACTGATACAGAAAAGAAGGGGGGGAAAAAATAAAAAATCGCTGAGTGCGTCAAAATGGGTGTGGGCTTTTCTCAAATGAACTGAAATATTTTGAACCTCTCTCCATTAAAAAAAGTAATGAAGGAGTTTCCTCAAAGAGTCCATTATATTATTCTAAGATCATCCAACTAAAGATCTAGATTAGATATACCATTTTACAACAAAGACTTGATTATTTGAGTGATTTAGTATTTCAATTTCAATTCTAGGACTTTTTTAGATTATAATAATTTTACTTGGCCCTTCCCGAGTACAACTTTTTGGTATTTTTTCCATTTTATTAAATTCACCCAATCAATTAACTGAGTGAAGAATTCCACTTCTCATTGAAGTATTGATGTGTGCAAAAATTGCCTCAAAGACACCCTTCATCATAAATATTAAATACTTCAAAGTAAACTTTTATATACATAAAATAAGAATAAAATAAATAAATAATAATACATTTACAAACCTCCTTTTTATATACACTTTCTTGGTTGATTAGCCTCTAATTTTGGTAACAAATTTACACTTTTTTCTTGTATAATATATGATGGAAATATTTACAACACCACCCACTCTGTGGTGATCATTAATTTAGTAAAAAAAAACTCACATCATATAATTGTACATGAGCAAGTTCTCTTCCGATACTAAAACCGGCAACTTATCGATATATAAGTAGAATCTTCGTAGATTCTCTTTAGCAAGAGTCGTGGGGTCCACCACATCCGATTCGCCCGTCAGTACCCACAAATCTCCCGACGCCACTCTCTTTAAGCTCCCTCGACAAAAAGGGCACGATTGTGATCGAACATACCTTCGAAAAAAATAACTTCAGAATAGAAAAATATACACTAATAAGAAAAATGTAATTTTTATGACTATATATATATATATATATATATATATATATATATATATATATATATATATATATATACATATACCAGTTATTGAAGCAGCTGATGCACATTGAGTGTCCACAAATAGGCAATACAACCTTGCAATCCATCTCCATACATATACCGCATTCGTCGTCTCTTTCGTAATCCGCACAAAGATTCTTGTTCTTCTCAACCTCGGATTCTTGGTTTCTTTTAAGGTTGTCCTCCATTAACCCCGCAAGATTCCCTTCGAGTTGCTTCAACATAGGATATATGACAGCTGTTGTTTTCAAAAGGGCCGAAAAATATATATATTCAAGTTATAAAAAAAAGGAAAATTATATATATCGACGGATGTCGAACGAGATGACAAATGTATGTTACCGTAGAATTCTCGAAGAGAGGCTTTCCTTTCTTCTTGGCTTACTATCGGCATTCCATCAACGTATACCTATAGTGATTAATTGCCCGATTACAAATTATGGATTAGGAATCATTAAGTAGAGATTATGATCGAAGAAAGTGAAAAGAATCGAAAAAGGGAATTATTAGTACCCTGTATATTAGGATGTGAAAAAGGCCTAAAAAACCGAGGAAGGCTTCGAAACAGGAAAAGTCAACCCATTCACAGATGAAAAGAAGGAACGGAGTAAACGGGCCGAAAGATAGTTTCATTTGAATGGAATCACCACCACCTATTTCTCTGGGCAGGGCAGCTACCCTTCACAAAAAAAAAAAAATTCAAAAAATTAAAATATAAACCTCTTCGTCAAAAAATTGTATTTATAAATAAGTAATTGAATCCACTCTTCCGTTTCAGAACCCTTATGAATATGTTTGTAAGGGCTAATTTGGTCCCAAGATGAGAAAAACTAGTGCATAGGGGTGGAAATTGGAACGAAATTTCCGATTTCTGCCGATTTCGATTCAAAATTTTCCGATTTTGGAACGATTTTTTCCAATTCGAATTCCGAAATTCCGACTTCTGATTTTTTTCAAAATTATTTGGAATCGGAATTGGAATGTATATGAGATTCCGATTTCCGATCCAATTAAAGTTCCGAAAATAATTCAAAAAATTCCAATTTTTTCGGCTATTACAATTAAAATACCAATATTACTATGTAATGTATATTTAAGGTGAGCATAAATTGGAAATTTCGAATTCCGCCGATTTTTTGGGGAAAAAAAAATTCGTTCCAATATCCGAAATTCCGATTTCCGATTTTTTTTGGAACGGAATTGGAACAAGTTTTTCACTTCCGAAAAGAATCGGATTTTTTTTCCAAAAGGGCTAATTCCGATCCGATCCGATCCATCCGATTTATACTCCTACTAGTGCACTATCCAAATATCAAATAAGCATAATTATTTAATTAATCACGACTTCTCTTCTCAACCAAACAAAGGCATAATTTCCTAAAAATACAAGGATAATTCGGCTTCAAAATCGCAAGAATAGCGATTTTTATAAGGTCATTTTGAAGCAATAACATCACCAATTTCATTTAAAGATTACCAATTTTGAACCCTAAAATTTTCAACCGAATTGGGATTTAATTTTAGGGTTTAGAGCTCATAATTAATTGCAGATAAATCGCAATAAACAGTTTGATTCTTGAAATAGAACTAATACATAAACTGGGTAAAGGGCATTCAAGAAACACAAAAAAATCACAATAAAGATCCAATTTTTAATTTAATTTCTTTTCCCAATACTTACAAATTGTTGGCATGATGAACATCAGCTTCAAGGGCTTTGATTGATTCTCTCAATGAAGATCTTCTCACCTGTCTCTGCAACATTTGATCTTCAAAACCCCCTTTGTCTGAATTAAAGTTGTTCACACTTTAAACAAATAAAAAATTAAAAGAAAATTGAAAATTATATAAAGAGGGAGAAGAGAGAAGATTGCAGATTAGGAGAGAGAGAGTTTGCTTGATGCTGAAACTTTGTCCTTTGTTGAAGAAAAGAAAAGGATATGTAATTAAATTAATTAATTAAACAATTAATTTCATTGTCTCCATTATATTATTTTATATTAAAATAATATATTATCTACCTTCCTTCTGTTTTCTTGCCTGTTAATAATTGACATTTTTTTAGTACTTATCCAATTTCTTAATAATTATTATATGATTCCATGTATTGACAAAAGAAAAGAATATTTATGAACAAGCATTTGAGACTTGACACAATATATTAACTTAATTATAATTAATTTTCTTGAAATTAATCCAGTCGGGACTAGCAAAATTCTATTAATTTAGTGAGATATTAAATTATCGAACTAATAAATTAGTATACCTTTTCATCGAGTCAAGATCTGGAAAAACTATTATTCAGGCAAAGATTATAATTTATCGAGGTTGTATTGTATTAAATTATTTCATTAATACTATCGAACATCAAAGAAGGTAAAAAAGACACAACATTTGATGTAATAATTAAATAATATAGGGTAAATTACAAACACCATCACCCATGGGGTATGGTCAATTTACAAAAAAACCCTCTTGTTTGGATAATTACATGTACCCACTAAATATGATTTTTTTCTTACACATCCACTCTTATGGTGTCAAATTCAACATAATCATCTAGATTTCGTGGAATGTGTTCTAATTTGTACTCGTTTTGTGTAAAAATATAATTTCTGATGCACCACAATCTGATACATACAAGCCAAAAAACAGATATTATGATCATCTTGCTACAGAATGTGGAGTTCGAATGGGATAAAACGGGTACAAAAGCGATAATATTTCATATAATCTCGAAGATTCCACTAAATTTGAGAAGTTGAGGGGTGGTTGTAATTATCCAAACAAGATGGGGGTTTTCGTAATTTGACCATACCTCAGGGGTGGTTGTATATTTACCCAATAATATATGGCATGAAAATACAAATACAGAAATGCTAGTGGTTTAGGGACCAATTGGAAATTAAATTGAATAATAACAAGATTAATTAAAATTTGAATGTTTTGTGTAGACTGGGCCAGTTTCAGGGTGTATTAGTATTGGATAGTACGGCCTGCTGGGCCTTTGACCTAATCGTGCACGAAATAATTGAAAATGACCACACAACATTCAATTAAATTATACAAAGTTTGAGAAAAATAAAATTAAAAATCGAATAACGATGTTTTCCCTTCTGATATCTCGAACTCATGACTAAATAATTCTAAATGCACAATGCTGACCAGCGGGCTACATTGTCTTGGCAAAAATATTGAATTACGCCTTTGACATTTGCTTCGATGTTTGACAAGATTTTTGCTGCAATTGCTAGAGTAGAATCCACAAGGTTGTTTCTTGAAATTTCATGTTATTTAAATATTCAATTTCACCGAATGATATGGAGTGTGTCTTCCTAAACGGTGTTTTGAATTATAAAAAAAAAAAAAAAAAAAAACCCTATGTTGAACAACCAAAAGGATTTGAGGATCCCTCAAAACTCAATTATGTTTGTAAATAAAAAAATGTATTTCATGGTTTGAAACAAGCGCCTAGAGCTGGTAGACCAAAGACTTACTGACTTTCTCCTCGGAATTAAATTCAAAAGAGGAGAAGCAGATGGAACTGTGTGAGTTGACTATAGTGCACATTTATGTGGATGATATTGTATTTGGTTCTACATACTCAAAATTATTACATGCATCTGCTGGCTCTAGCTCTTCTGTTTTTGAGATGAGCATGGTAGGAGAATTGAACTATTTTCTTGACTTACAAATCAAACAATTAAATGATGGAATTTTCATTTTCAAAAAAAAAAAAAAAATTATGCTACTAATCTTGTAAATAGATTTGATCAGGAAAACGCAAAAAGCATATAAAAACCTCCTATGAGATCAAGCCATAAAAGAGTATGACTGGAAGCTTATTGTATCTAGCAACAAGCATATATATATATCAGATTCCGAATTTTGTCGCTTCCGATCAGAGAATTCCCGACTGTGGAACAAGTTTTTCCATTCTGGTTATCGACACTTCAATTTTTCAAATTGTCATGGAACAAAATTTGATTTAATTTTTCACTTCTTGAAAAGTTGGAATATATTCGAAATTCCTAATTTCGATTTGTCCGATTTACACCCATATAAAATTACCCAAATACTAAAGTGAAAGAAAAACCATGTGGGACCCATGGTCCATGTTTGTACTGATAATATATGCATTCGGACCAGCTCTGCAAATGTACATTAAGTTAAGGAAGTTTAGCTCAATCACAGCAAACTATGCATACTTTTTCAAACTTTTGATAAAGCTAGGGGCAACTTTGTCCAATTGTGCAACAAAAAAGATCATCTTGTTGCCATCAAAAGCAAAAGTGGTTAAAGCAAAAAAGCAACAGAGACAAAGATAATGTTATCCCATATATTATATTATATTCTTTTTTATATTACCAATATTAATATATTTATTATTTATTTCTCTCAAAAGATGCCTTTTGCATTTGCATGAGTTCCTTTTTTCTGCACCCAAAGCCAACTTAGGAAATAGTTTTGCTGTAATAATACCAGCAAAGATCCTTCATTCAGTAGTCAAGATTTACTTTTATACCCCTGTTTGGAAAAAATTGGTAAAAATTACAATCACCCCTGATGTATGGTCAAATTACGAGAAAAAACCCTCAAATTTGGGTAATTACAATCACCTCTCAACTATAAATTTTCTTTCACGTCCACCCTTGCGATATCAAATTTAGTGGAATCTTCTAGATTATGTATTCTTCAATTTGTACCCGTTTTACCCCATTCGAACTCTATATTTTGAAACAAGATGATAATAAGATGTGTCTCTTGGCTCGTAAATATCAGATTGTGGAGCGCATCAAAAACTGCATTTTTGCACAAAACGAATACAAACTAGAAAACATTCCACGAGATGTAGAAGATTCAGTTAATTTGACCCCATAAGAATGAACACGTAAAGAAGATTCATAGTCGATGGTTGGTTCTAATTACCCAAACATGAGAGATTTTTTTTTTGGTAAGTTTACCTTATCTGAGGGGTCACCGTAATTGACCCCAAAAAAAACACTAATTTCACAAAACTTTGATATAAATATATTTAAATTTTCTTTTACAAATTTAATTTACACATAATCTAAAAAAGATATAAAAGCAATAAATACGGGCACCTGCAGTTCTTCGTTGGCATTTATACCATGACCCCACTTGGAATATGGCTTCATTTCATTTATTTCAAAATAAAAATAAAAATTACCAAATAGTAAAAAATAAATAAATAAATAAAAACAATTATCTTACTTTTATGGATTGCACTAGTGTCATATATGCTAAATAAGATTCTTTTCAATAAAGCAACTAAAACCTGAAAACGAAGCTGATGAACAATCAACACAGACTCCTCATTAGTCAGAAAAGCTAAAGCTGAGTGAAGAAGCACTTTTTTTTACAGCTTAACCACTTCTCTTTATTCTTTGTGATAATCACAACAAAAAAACACAGAAGCAAACACAACTTTTCTTTGGCTTCTGATCTCAAAATATGAGATCTGCTTCACATTTGTTCATCACATTCCTCTGCTTAACAATTCCATCAATTTTCGGCCAACTTAACGGTAAGTACTTCTTAAGCAAGTTAATCACTTTTTTAAGATAAGATTAATCTCGGGTTTAATTAAGGATTAATCATGCAGAGTTCATCAGCATAGACTGCGGCGGCACAACCGCCAACTACACCGATAAAACGACCGGCCTGTCATGGATTTCCGACTCGGGAATCCAAACCCGAGGCCGGTCGGTTCAAGTAGGCGACGGCGAAACAAACGAAACCCCGGTCCACTACAACACGCGTCGCGATTTCCCGACCGACGCCGGAAAGTACTGCTACAAGCTCGACACGGAGGAGAGGCGGCGCTACATTGTCCGAGCCTCGTTTCTGTACGGCACTTCCGTGACCGAGGGCACGTACCCGAAGTTCCAGCTGTACATCGACGCGACGAAATGGTCGACGGTGGCCGTGATGGAAGCTTCTAGAACCTACGTGAAGGAAATGATCGTGCGGGCCCCGTCGAGCTCGATACACGTGTGCCTCTGCTGCGCCACCACCGGATCTCCGTTTATATCGACCCTCGAGCTGCGGCCTTTGAATTTGTCGATGTACGCCACCGATTACGAAGATGAATTTTACTTAAAAGTTGCCGAAAGAATTAATTTCGGTGCTCTAAGCCAAGAAGCGATAAGGTATGTATTTAATTTATTAATTTCGATACTTAAGTGTTATATGTCGTTTCAATTTAAGTAATGTTACTGTTTTGACTCAGAACGTGATTTTGACCATTTTCTAGTTTGATTCTGACAAAATTCAAGATGCAGAAATTGAAATTGTAGTCGGTTCAGTAATAACTGTATATGATTATTAATTTCGATACAGAAGTGTTAAATGTCGTTTCAATTTTAGTAATGCCGTTTTGACTCAGAACGTGATTTTGATCATTTTCTAGTCTGATTCAGCCAAAATTCAAGATACGGAAATTGTAGTCGGTTCAGTAATAACTGTATATGATTATTAATTTCGATACTGGAGTGTTATATGTCGTTTCAATTTTAGTATTACTGTTTTGACTTTAGAACATAATTTTGACCATTTTCTAGTCAGAGTCTAAACAAAATTAAATTCAAGATACAGAAACTGTAGTCGGTTCAGTAATAACCGACTACATAAATATAGAACCATTTCGACAATGCACGAAAAATCGAATGAAGTTCGTTTTTTTTTTTTTAAATTAGGTATCCTGACGACCCATACGATCGGATATGGGAATCGGATCTCGATCGAAGGGCGAATTTCTTAGTGGGGGCGGCCCCCGGGACAGAGAGGATCAACACGACGAAAAGCATAGATGTGAACACACGAGAATATCCGCCAGTCAAAGTGATGCAAACTGCGGTGATTGGAACTGGAGGGAGCATAAGCTACAGGCTGAATCTAGAGGATTTTCCGGCCAACGCACGAGCTTACGCTTACTTTGCGGAAATCGAGGATTTGAGACCGAACGATACTAGGAAATTCAAAATGGAGCTGCCTTACATGCCGGACTATAGCAACGCGGTAGTGAACATAGCAGAGAATGCCAATGGAAGCTACACGTTGTACGAGCCTAGCTACATGAACGTCTCGCTGGATTTCGTTCTGACGTTTGAGTTCAAGAAAACACGAGACTCGACACGAGGACCTTTGTTGAACGCAATGGAGATTAGTAGATACGTGGAGATTGCCACTAAGACCGATGAAAAAGACGGTAGGATAATATATAAATGTGATTTAATTCAACTAGATACATTATTTAGTTACCTAAATGTGTGTGTGTGTGTGTTATTACGTACCGAAGTGAGTGGCCTTGATGCTCTGCTAGCTATGTCTGAACAAAGTGAATGGGCGAACGAAGGCGGTGATCCTTGTTTACCGACGAATTGGGAGTGGTTGACTTGTAGCGCCACGTCACCACCGAGAATTACCAAGATGTAAGTCTTTTTCTATCTCGAGTTTTGTGCATAATAACGGTTATTGGTCAACGTTTTTATCGACAATGACTTGTTCGAACAGTTTTTTGTCAGGTAAGAATGTGACGGGCGAAATACCACGAGAGGTTAATAGCATGGAAGGATTGACGGAATTGTAAGAGTGATTTCATTTCCGAGTTCAAAATTTAATTTCCGAATCATTATTCAATACTGATTTTTTACTTCTACTTCTATTATAGGTGGCTAGACGGAAACTCGTTTATCGGGACAATTCCCGATATGAGCGACCTCGTCAATTTGAAAATACTGTAAGTTCTTCAATCAATTCGTTTTATCAGGTCGTGATCAGGTCAAAAAAAAAACTATGCATGAATACGTGGCTACAAATCCGTGTCAGAAGATCGAAACTCGAATCGCCCGACGTATATAAGACATACGAGCTAGCATAAAAAATGAAAACAACCACAATTAACGTTAGCTAGTTTTAAACCGTTCTTTAATAATCTCGTTTTTCGTTTGTGGTTTGCAGGCATCTAGAGAATAACCAACTGACTGGTTCGTTACCTTCGTACCTCAGTAAACTGCCGTACTTGCAAGAACTGTAAGCATTTATTTTAATCAACTTCAATTATAAGTCTCGGTATATTTATTGAAGCCGCGTTTGCGTGTTGTTATTTCCGGCAGGTACGTACAGAACAACTCTTTGAGCGGGGAAATACCGTCGTCGTTGCTAAGAGGAAATTTAACTTTCAGGTTTGTTTCGAAGAATCTCGAATGTAATCGATTAAAATGAACTTTGCTATGTAAAAAAACTACCGAAAATAACAAAATGCTGTACTTTATTTTTTTCCCCGTTTTTTGGCAGCTACGAAGGCAATCCGCATCTTAAACGAACAACGAAAAAACGTAGCAGAGTAATACTTGGAGCTTCGATCGGCATAGTGGCTACACTTATTGTCCTATCGATTTTAAGCATTTTGTTGCTTCGTCGATCTAGGTCGAGGACAACCCTACACAGAAACGAGAAAGGTTAATTTTGTACCTCTAATATAAAATATATCATTTCCAATTTTCGTTCGTATAAATTCAAATTTTTCATCTCGTGCGGAAAAAAAAAAAAAAAAAAAAATAGGAAATTCGTGGCGTGCGAGCACCAGGCCTTTATCAGGCTACTCAATTGCGCGCGACGAAGGTGTGGCATACTACATTCCTCTATCGGACTTAGAAGAAGCTACAAATAATTTCTCGAAGAAAATCGGTAAAGGAAGTTTCGGACCGGTGTATTACGGAAAATTAACGGACGGAAAAGAGGTGGCGGTTAAAACGATGGCTGATTCGTCTAGTCACGGCACCAAACAATTCATTACGGAGGTTACTTATTTTTTCGACCCCGTTACGAAATTCGTCAGATGTTTTTTTTCAAGAATGCATATAATATATATAACAAACACTTGCAAGACAAATATTTTGTACCGGATAATATTTTCTTACGTAATATTAACGAGGTACTATAATACTTACAGGTGGCATTACTGTCGAGAATCCATCACAGGAATTTGGTTCCTTTGATCGGATATTGCGAGGAAGAGCATCAACGCATGCTCGTCTACGAGTACATGCATAACGGGACTTTACGAGATCATATAAATGGTTTGCACCCCTCAAAAAAGAAAAGTTTCGATATTTTGAGAAATGATAATAAACTAACTCGAATTTCTTTTTCGACAGATTCCGAGAATCAAAAGCACTTAGACTGGCTAGCACGTCTTCGAATTGCTGAAGATGCAGCTAAAGGTGGAAACTTTTTTTAATTTTTTTTTTTCCTTCGAAAATAAAAACATTTTTTTAGAACTGTCGTGTAAATAACTCGATTACAGGTTTAGAGTACTTGCACACCGGATGCAACCCTAGTATAATTCACCGAGACGTGAAAACGAGCAACATTCTCCTAGACATAAACATGAGGGCAAAGGTATCGGATTTCGGACTATCGAGGCAAGCTGAAGAAGACCTAACACACGTATCGAGCGTGGCACGAGGAACAGTCGGCTATCTCGATCCAGAGTAAGCCAAAAAAAAAAAAATCGTGGCTTTGCATTTATGTTGTCTTAAACGTCGAAACTAACTAATGTTGTGTCTTAAACAGGTACTACGCAAACCAACAATTGACCGAAAAAAGTGACGTCTACAGTTTCGGAGTTGTTCTCCTCGAACTTATCTCCGGTCGAAAGCCTGTTTCGACCGAGGAATACGGTTCCGATTGGAGCATCGTTCATTGGGTATACGCTCGTTGCTGCATATATATATTTTTTTCCATCCAAAAAAAAAATTCTAAATTTTTTTTTTCAATTTATAGGCAAGGGCATTGATTCGGAAAGGAGACGTAATCAGCATAACGGACCCCACGCTTATCGGAACAATGAAAGTCGAATCGGTTTGGAGAGTAGCGGAAGTAGCGATCCAGTGCGTCGAGCAACATAGCACCGCCAGACCAAGAATGCAGGAGATTATACTTGCCGTACAAGATGCGATCAAAATCGAGAAAGGAACGGACAAGTTAGATTCTATCGAGAGTTCGACGAAAGGACAGTCTTCGAGAAAAACGCTACTAACGAGCTTTCTCGATATCCAAAGTCCCGACCTTTCTAACGGCTCCTTAGTCCCTTCGGCTAGATAAGGAATTAGCCGCTTTTTCGATAAACCCGAATGCTGTGTGCGATTTTTTTTTACGACATGGTAAAATGGTAATATTCTTCAGCTAACATACAGAAACTCAGGTTTGCAGTTAATTTGTTTATACTTAAATTTAGAGAATCTTTACACATATGTTACATTTATTTTTAGTGCATTAACATGTCTGTTATATGGTAACTCATAACTGAATCTTGTAATTATAAATTTATGACTAAATTACAGGCCCCCCTGAGGTAATGTCGAATTACGAAAAAACACCTTTATATTTGGGTAATTACAACCATCCATGAATCTTCTTACACGTCCACCATTGCGGTTTCAAGTTTAATGGAATCTTCTAGATTATGTGGAATATTTTCCAGTTCTTACCTGTTTTAACTTATTAGATCTCCACATTTTAAATCAAGATGATCAGATGTGTTTCTTGGCTTCTAAATATATAAAATTGTGGTGCATCAGAAACTGCAATTTTTGCACAAAACTAATACAAACTAAAGAACATTGCACGGAATCTAGAGGCTTATGTTCCATTTGACACCGTAATAGTGTGTGGACGCGTAAGAAGATTCATAATTGAAGAGTGGTTGTAATTACCCAAATGTGAGGGGGTTTTCGTAATTTGATTTTACCGCAGAGAGTTGGCCCGTAATTGACCCTAAATTTAATAAAAAATTGAAAATCTTGAAATTGAAATAATCAAGATGAATGCAATTTTATCAAGAGAATTGAATAAAAGGGTCTTGCCGTGTAATGAATGGCTTGGCGCCAGAAGCCACCATTCTTGAAATCTTGATCCTTGTTTGGTGTTTTATGGTGAGTTCCATTATGAAGTGGGCTGGGGCTTCTTGATTTTTGATAAATATATTTTCACCCCCGACTTTTTTGTCGAGTTTCAAACTAGTCCTTATATTATAGTTCTAATTGACTTCAATTTCACCCCTCAATAATTTATCCGTCAACAATTTGGTTTAAAATACTCTGATTTGACTAAAATACCCTTCACTCATTAATTAACCACTCCCTCCGTTGATCCGTTCGATAATATCTGTCACTTTTAAGAATTTTTTTGTTTCATATTATCTGTTACTTTAGAATTCCAACACTACATTAATTACATATTTTTCAATTATGCCTTTATTAACTCTCCAAAACTCTATGTACATTAATTAATAAATAAGAGTATTTTGGTCTAATAATATCTATTTTTCTAAAATCAATACATATTTATTGAGTTTCTTAAGATTCGTGCAAATGTGAAAAAAACTATTATTTAGGAACCGAGGGAGTATTTACCTTAAAACAAAATCAGCCTCCATTTTTTTTTTCCAACTAAAATAAAATAAAATCATAATTTATTATAGTTCACAAAATCAATGTATTTCATTCCCTATACGTTGGAATTCATACTAATTATTGGACAAAATAAATATATTCAAATATTATGTAAAATTAACCTAGTTAAAATTATGAAAGAATTGAAAAGATATTCTAGATTTACTTGCAATTCTATACAATTTTTCATTTTGTTATTTAATGCATATCATTTTTTAATTAGTATAAAAACGATAATTTCATGAAAATGTTAGACAATATTGCGTATTTTGGCGTACTCGAGATTTATTTTGGTTAAAGTTATCGTTTTATTTTTTTTAGTAAAATATTTAAGTAAATGGAAGAAACATTCCACTTGTTTGAAATTCTTAATTTATCGCGTACTGTTGTTATTGTACACGTCATTTGATAATATATAAAGAACGTTGTTGTCGTTTTCGAAAACATTAAAAATTGCATACGTTTTAACAAAAAACGTCATGAAAAATTATATATTTTTGGCACGTTAGTCGTAGTTTTAATACCCCAAAAGATATTTTTTGTCGTTTTAGTAAAAAGTAGAGTAACAAAATATAAATCTTGTCGTTTCAATAAATTATTAACGCAAATATATTACCGCTTTTTATTTATTTGTATTAAAAACATAACGTCATCTCATACGACATTCATTGTACACGTCATTTGCTAATATTAAAAGAACGTTATTGTTGTTTTCGAAAACATAAGAAATAGCATAAGTTTATTAACAAATACGTCACGAAATATTTGATGTTTTAGCACGTTTGTGGTAGATTTAATACTCTAAAAAATATATCTTTTGTTGTTTTAGAAAAATATTTAAGTAACAAAGTTATATTTTTTTTATTTATTTGTATAAAATATTATTCCATGTTCTTTTCAACAATGCATACACTTAACAAATTTCATGAACATATAGTTAATGATCTTATGGTCGTTTTATCAAATTTGAAATTAAAGTGCCATTTACTATAAAAACAAAGGACTCAAATGCAAATTCTAATTCGTTATTCTAGGAATATGTGGAAAGATTATTTATTTAAAACAAAATTATAAAGATTTGTTGCTTTCCACGTGGTGTGATTATGGTCCGTGGACTTGATTCTCAACCTAAAAACCTAATTCAATTATAATATATATATATATATATATATATATATATATATATATATATATATATATATATATATATATATATATAAAAGAAAGAAACGCTGGGCAACCCTAAAAACCCTAATGGTATTTTCTTAATTATTTATTTTTAATATTTTTTCTCTATTAATTTTCAACAATTATCAATCTCCTATTTTTGATCAATATGTCTAAATCTTAAGAGATAAAGATAGAAATTCGATTTGTTAAGTCTAAATTTATATATTTGGATTATTTGAATTATAAATCTTAATATGTAAAATATAAACAAGTTAATGTTACATTAAACATGAATAATACTACATTATTAAACTTTACTATGTGCATGTACTATATTTTTTTATTATGTATTAAATTGATTTTTTTTTTACTCTTGAAATAATATCCCGTGCATCGCACGGGGAAAAAAATGCTAGTATTAATAAATCTAAATAACTACAAAATTTAGGGTAAATTATGACCACTCTCTTAGATAAAGTTTATTAATAAAACCCCCTCAATTTTTTATAATTACATTTACTACTTAAATCTGTAGAATTTTTCATTAACACTATTTTCTAGAAGGTAAATCTAAGAAATTTACAAACTGCAAGGAGTTCGATGAAATTTCTCAAAAAATGAATTTTTTTTTGTAAGTACACTTTATTTAGGGAGACAGTTGTAATTTATCCTAAAATTTATATGTTTGTACAACAAGCATACCTAGGTTTGGACATCTCATTTATGAAAATATTAATATGACTTAAATTAAAGCCACAAAAATTAAACAAGAACTTGGCAAGACTTATAGTCATAATTATACAAGCAAAACAAATATATAGTACAATATAAACCACTAATCTTGAATTTTGAAGAGATTGATTAATTACCTAACCAAGCCTTCAACTCTTGACTTTTCAATCAAAGGCTGCAAGTTCTAATTTACAATTCTAAAATACCCTTCATTTTTAATTTAATTTTTTTTAACTTATAAACCGCAATCATAAACGTGTAATGGATAAAATTCACTAACGAAACGTGTAAATCGTATTGGCAATCTATGTGCAACGAACTTAATTTAACTAAAACTATTAAAAATGGGGAATCGAACTTGGATCGTTAGACATAACAAATTAAGTCACCATTGTGGGCAAATAATACTCTTCTTCATATCAATGGATGACCTAGTGGTTGGAGTAAGTTAGTTCGTGCCAACTGATCCAAGTTCGAATTCCTTTGCCAAAAGTCGCTAGGTCGAACTTGTCATAAATGGTTAACCTGGTCTAATTTATGTTTCTCGTACGATTTACAAACTATTACACGCGAGTGTAGATTTACCCGGTACACCTATATAGATTTGTGTGGTCCAAGAAAAACCCTTGATCATTATTTAAACATAAATAACTTATTGCATCAACAAAAAACAAGAAATAGCACAAGTTGCCATACAATCATAGTATCATTAATTAATAAACTACTAAATAAGTACTAGTTAATGCTGATTTTCTTAATCTTTACAACTAGAATCTTGTTCTAAAAAATAATCAAGAATCACAATCCATTGACATTGTTATCTCACTTTCACGATTAAACAAATTCCCAACAAATAAAATAAACAAATTCCCCCACACCTTTAAATTGTAAACAAGAACAATAAACAATTCAAAAATAAATAAAAATTGATTCTTTTATTGAGGATTTGGTTGAAAAAGTGAGTAGAAAAAGGGCAAAAGATATATAATATGATGACAACTATTGCATCATTTGCAACAACAAACAAAGCCAACCCAACTTTTTCAATTCATCATAATAATAACAAGAACAAAAAATAAAAAAAAAAAATTAAGAAAAAAAAATTAATTAATTTTTTTTAAAGACAAGAATTCCAATTCCTCCTCTTCTTGCATCAGAATTAAATTCCTCTGTCTGAAACAGAAAAAACCCTTCTTCCCCCAACAAACACCAACACAGTGAGGCTCAAATTACGGCACTTTGTAGTGCAGCAAAGACAAAAAAAAGATGGTGGTGGTAATAATAAAGATTGGAGCTTTGAGCTAAAAGACACACCAGAAAGGAAGGTTAGAGAGATCAAAAGTTTTGCAACTCTCTCTCTCTCTCTCTCTTCTTTTTCTCTTTCTTGTCTAAGCATTTTGTTTTCTTGTAATGAATGTTGGGTTTTTCTTTTCTTTCTTAAATAAGAGCACCGCAACCCTTCTCTTCTTGCAGCTCGGTGGGTTCATCTGTACTTGTCTTAAAAAAAAAAGAGCTTTCTTTTTTTCTTTTGTGCATTTTAATATTTTTTTTTATATATTTATAAAACAGAGGAAGAAAGAACAGAATCAAGAAAGTGGGGGCAAAATGGAGAATATGTATTACGAGAAGCTGGGCAGAAGTTCTTACAAGGATTCCCTCAAGTTCTTGGAGTCTGATATTCAACATGCAAATGATTTGTAAGCTGGGGCTTTTTTTTTTTTTTTTTTTTTTTTTTTTTGGGTGTGTAATTTTTTCCACATTTTATCTTAGGGGCATGCATGTAATATCTGGTTTGTTTGAGCATATTGTGGGTTCTTCATTTTTGAGTCTAATGATTCTTGATTTTAATTCTATTAACTGGGTATTTTTTTCTCTCTATCTAAAAATCCTTTCTTTTTGTGAATTTGGTGTTTCTTGTTTTTCTGTCATAAGACATGCAAGTGTTGAATTGTTGAAAGGTGTGTAGACAACAGAATTTGCATTTTTCGAGAAATCGGTTGCTGTCGATTTCGGTGTTTTTTTGGTGAATTGATCCACTTGCTGCAAATTTACTATTTTGTTTATCAGAGATTTTCTTTTAATTCATACACTAGATTGATGTGAGATACAGAACACCACCGCTATTTTATTGCTAAAAAAATTTCCAATTTCGCTACATCGGTGGTGCTATGTGCTATATTAAGAAGTCGGAGCTGGAAATGATGACATCACCATTCTCTCCTCGAATTATCGGATTTTTTTTTCTTTTCAATTGTCGGTTTTTAGGTCTCTCCCTACACGATTAAGACATGCAAGCATTGAATTGTTAAAAGGTGTATAGAAAATAGCTGTTGCATTTTTCGAGTGCAATGTCACTGTTCAACTTGTTGCAATTTCCGATTTTTTTCGTCGGAGATTTATTTATTTCGACACTAGATTTGATGTGCGATAACGATAACTGATACGGCATGTCACAGCCATTTTAATCGCAAAATTTATTGCGTATCACTTCTGATTTCGTCGTGTCGGTGCCGTGTTCTATATTAAGAAATAAAAAAACGGAAACGATAACATAATTAATTATCTTGCCGAATTAGCCGTTTTTATCGTTTCGTTTTTTTTCTTAGGGCTGGAGCAATTCCAAGAGCTAAGGGAGGCGCACGTCTTCAAATGAAACTCGTCTACAATCAGTTAGCACCGCTCTTTCTATTTTTCCTTCGGTGGGTCGATTGTTCGTGCTCCTGCTTTTTATCGAGCTACTTCAGCCTTTTTCACATCGTTATTTACAAGGTAATTAATCGATCACCAATCATTTTTTACTTTCCGATTATTATTAACGCAACGTAATTCCATTAGTTCACATTCTTCGTTTTATTTCATTTCTCAGGTGTACGCAGACGGAAGGCCGAAGATTTCGACACACGGACGGAAAGCTTCCGTTAGAGAGTTTTACGGTTTGTCGGTTTCTTTATCCGCTCGTCTTTGTGCGAATTTTTTTTTATAAATATTCTCGTTGTTGATAAAAAAAATGCCAGCTGTCATATTGCCGTCACTTCAGCAGCTCCATTACAACATGGTGGAACAGGACAGTTTGAATTCGAGCATCGAAAACCGTGTTCGGAAAAACATTAGTAAGAAAAGACTCGAAGAAGATAGTCGAGCATACGACAACAACAACAACATAGAACCCGCAAGAGACGATGAATGTGGAATATGCTTAGAACCATGCACCAAAATGGTCACACCTAATTGCTGCCATGCAATGTGTATAAACTGTTACCGCGACTGGTAAAATTTAAATTAAAACCCGCAATTATATTAAAGATCGGATTTTTTTTTTTTCGTCCTAAATTATTTTTTTCGAATTTTAGGAGCACGAGATCGGAATCGTGCCCATTCTGCCGCGGTAGTTTAAAAAGAGTAAAGTCGACCGATTTATGGGTGCTAACGGGCAGCGATGATGTCATCGATCCGGAAGCTGTCACCACAGAAGACTTGCAAAGATTCTACCTTTACGTCAGAAACCTGCCTAAAGATTCCCCCGACGCGTTGTTCTTGATGTACTACGAGTATCTGATATAATGCCAAACGAAGCGGAGATGGGGGTATATATATATATATAGATATAGCAGAAGCCGACCTTATAAGATGTAAATAGAGTCCGGGTAAGGAAAAAAAGTTTTCTCCGTTTATTAAATTGTACGAATAATAACCGCTTTTGTACATGCGGGGTGCGATAGGAGAAACATTACAATCAATAAAAAGTTCTCAAAGCATTCTTTGAGACTTGTTTTTTGCCTTGCCTACAATTCTTCTTCTTCGTAACTCGTACAATTGCATGGTTAAGCAAAACTACCCGAAAAAAAAATCGACCAAAATAACAATATTTACTTACTATAAGCTATATCCTATAATTATTTATTGTTTATTTATTATTATTATCTCGCTCTCTTGATGCATTATCCGGAGCGGAAACTTCTAGAATCTTTGTGCCTATGCGCTTATCTCTACACTCACGCTCTTCTTGATCTTGATAAGCTCGCTGAAAGAAGGTTGACAGAAGCCATGATTGAGGAAAAGATCGGTGACGTGCTTGTACATTGCTCCGGTGAGGTGGACCCCGTCGTAGTTAATGTACTTCTGAGAATCTTGACAGGGGGTCGTGTTGTCGGACCCACATGGCGAGTTCCTGTCAAAGTTGTACTCCCCTCCGCCGGTGCCGCAGCAGGTTTTGAAGGGCTCCTCGATTCCGTACTTTTTCGGGTTCATCGAAACGGTAAGGTACGCGTTCCAGTAGTCAGCGTACAAGATCGTGCAGTTAGGGTACTGCCTTCGGAATTTCTCGAGCTTCGTCTGAAGAATTTGATTGTGGAGCATGATTCCCTTGTTCACGCTCCCCACGCATCCCATTTGGTCGCGGTCGAGTTTCAAACTGGCTGCCATGCATATGGGGAGACAGCCGACGGGGGGCAATCCTTGTACAACGACGTACTTTGCTCCTTTTTCTAGCAATGTCTGTTAAAAGATTGCTTTTTTAATACAATTTTTTTTAAAGATTGCTTTTTTCTGTTAATGATTGCTTTTTTAGTACAAAATTTTATTACAGCAGTACTATGTTTGTATAATATACGTACCTTGAGGATATTGCATTCGTTGTTTGCAGATAGCTCCGTCAGACTGAGAAGCGAAACGGGCGAGCCGAAAGAAGTGACGTAGTCGGAAACTCCCATTTCGCCCAGCCAGAAGAGCGAGTTCTCCATGTCAGCATTGCAGAGGGCCCCACCCCCACCTTCGTTACACCCAGTCTTCGCCATGAACTGCTCGAACCAGTCTAGCTGTGTCTGAAAGCTCGTTAGGGCTTTGTTCCAAAACGGGCAGTTAATACCTTTCGAGGCGAAGAAATCTGTCGCGAGCGCGGTGGACCCCGCTATGGCAAAGTTGACCCCGTTCTTGAAATCCGCAGAGTTGGATTTGTAGGGAGAGAGTGGCGGCAGAGAGAGAGAATCGCAGAGGTAATCGACCATGAGTTGACCGCTCATGGACTTTTTGAACGAAAAAGAAGGGGAAGAAGAAGAAGAAGGCGTGGAAGAAGAAGAAGAAGAAGGCGTCGAAGTAGAAGGTGTTGAAGAAGAAGAAGGCGTAGAGGTAGAAGGCGTCGAAGAAGAAGAAGAAGGTGTAGAAGAAGAAGAAGGTGTAGAAGTAGAAGGTGTCGAAGAAGAAGGTGGTGTAGAAGTAGAAGGTGTCGAAGAAGAAGGTGTAGAAGTAGAAGGTGTAGAAGTAGAAGGCGTCGAAGAAGAAGAAGGCGTCGAAGTAGAAGGCGTCGTAGAAGTAGAAGGAGTCGAAGAAGAAGAAGGCGTAGAAGTAGAAGGCGTCGAAGAAGAAGAAGAAGGCGTGGAAGAAGAAGAAGAAGGCGAAGAAGTGGGCGAAGACGACGAAGAAGAAGAAGAAGAAGGCGTAGAAGTAGAAGGCGTCGAAGAAGAAGACGAAGAAGAAGAAGAAGAGGAAGAAGAAGAGGAAGCCGAAGCCGAAGCCGAAGATGAAGACGAAGACGAAGAAGAAGAAGACGAAGAATTATCATCTGCCGAGACGTTGTTAGTGTTTTCTTCCGACCCGCTTCCTAGGAATTCGGCATTGCCCGTGTCAGTGTCCGAATCACCAAAGGCGAAGACTTTGGAGAAACAGCCCTTGAATTCGGCGTTGAAACTGATCGAACCCGAGGCGGAAAACTGGCCCTGGCCATGGTCATGGTCATGGTCATGGTCATGGTCAACGTTGTTACCGCCGCTCTTCTTGGTTTTGTTTTTCTTGTGTGCAGATGAAAGGGTGCTGCATGAGAGGAGGAGGATTGTTACTATCAACAGAGAGAGTGAAAGAGATTGACAGCTGGATTTTTTCATGATTAATTTTTTTTTTTTTTAATTATTTCTTGATATTATTTTGTTTGTTGTGTGTTGAAGTTGTCCCTTTTATATATGCAATTAGTAATGGCTAATTTTGTGTTGGGGGAGGTGATCCTTGATCCTAGGAAAGAACATTGGCTCTGTGGTGTTTGTTCAGGTAACTAACTTAACTGCTAACTGATGTGGTTGCTTCTTTGGTTTTTATTTCATTGCAATGGCTATTGTAGGAATGCAGTAAACTGGTGGTTTGTGTGTAATTGTTGTCAACACAATCTTTATGTCATGTCAATTTTTAATGGAATATTTAGTTTTAGGGAGACTTTTTATTTTATTTATTATTTATTATTTATTTATTTATTATTATTTATAACTAATAAAATATGTTGTTTTAATTTATATGCTATTTTGTAAATTAAATTTGATAGATCATTAGTATCGAATGCAGTTTCCGTCCCTTACATTAGTATCGATTTCACATTTGGTCCCTCACATTCACAACAAAATACATTTGGTCCCTCGTGTTTTCAAAAATTCAAACACTTTTAGTTATTTCCATCGATTTTCTATTAAAACTAACGGAATCAATCGTGTTCCCATCAATGACTAACTGACATACTTACGGAAAATTGACGGAAATGACAAAAAACGTTAAATTATTAAAACATGAGGGACTAAATGTGTTTTTTGTGAGCATAGAGGACTAATATGAAATCGGTGCAAACTTTAGGGATGAAATCTATAATCTCCATTTATATGTAACCCTTTAATCAATTTACCTTGTATTCTTTATATAATGGATGAATTTCTACTACAATAAATTTTTCAAATCATCATGGGGTCGGGGACATGTTCCCCAATATTTCTCACATTTCTATTAATTTATATAAAAAAATAATTTGTTTATGTACAATAGAATTAATGGCCCTTTCTAAGAAATTTTTAATGTATTCGTCCTCTTGATTTAAATTCTGGCTCCGCTAATGTGTATCATATATAAATAAGGGTAAGTTATGGTCACTCGAGGTAAATTCAAAAGCGAAAGAACCTCTCATGTTTGGGTAACATCAAACACCTCTGAACTATGAATCTTAATACAAGTTCACCATTGCGGTGTCAAATTTAGTGGAATTTTTTAAATTATGTGGACCCATTTTACCCAATTCGAGCTCCGCATTTTGTAAAAGATGATCGTAAGATATGTATCTTGACTTGTAGATATCAAATTGTGGTGCATCAGAAACTGCATTTTTGCACTAAACGAGTACAAACTAGAAACATTTCACCGAATATAGAAGATTCCATTGAATTCGACACCGTCAGAATGAACGCGTAAAAAGATTCATAGTTAAGGGGATAATTATAATTATCCAAACAAGAAGGGTTTTTCGTAATTTAACATTATCTTAGGGGTGACCATAATTTACCTTATTGAACGGCATTAGTGATGTCTAATGAATGTTTTTCTCCTGATTTAAACTTTTTACCGGAAACATGAGCAATATGTTCACCTGATTTTTTAAGAAATATCGAATGCAAAATACATCTTTTATCAAGAAAAAAATTTGTTCCAAAAAAAAAAATAAAAAGAAAAAGAAAATAATGCAAAAGAGGTCTAATCTTCTATTTTAGTAAGGAATAATAAAGTTTAAATAATCTATTAAAAATTCAGCATCATAAATCATAATTTGATCAAAGTTGTTTAAGGCTTCACTAAATGCTGTTCATGGGTCGAAGAATCAGTTGATTATCAGTCCGACCTGACCAATCAATATTTTTTTACCAATATCCAAAATCATTATTGGTCTGACTTTTATGAATCGGATAACAAAACAATTTTTTCATTACGATGTCAATTTAAAATTAGTGTTTTTTTTTAGTTTAAAATTACAGTAATATCTATTTTACTAAATATAGATAGCACTTTCTTATCTTTAGACAAATTACTTATATAACCAAATTAAATCAAGGCTGAATGGCAAAAAGACTCATCACATAAGACTTAAATACATTTTGGTTCATAAAAAAAATAGTCTCTCAATTAAACCCACCCCAATGTCTTTAGTCTAAAATACCCTCCTTAATATAATTCTTATCAATTCCACCAATTATGCTCTAACTTCCTTAATATTACACATTGACCCCGGATTTAAACAAATATATCACATTAACCCCCAATTTTTTTTTTCAGAAAATAATTTTTTTCTGAAATGTTTTTTTTCCGGTCAGATTCCGGCGTTGAATTTTTTTTTTTTTTTTTTTAATTTTTTTTTAAAACTTTTTTTTTTCCTGAAATTTTTTTCCGGCCGGTCAACCACCGTTGACCGCCGGTCTCCGGCGTTGACTTTTTTTTTTTTTTGAATCTTTTTTTCTTAGAAAAAAATATTTTAATTAATATTACTGTCTTGGCTACTAAATTACTGTCTCAGACAGTAATATTATGAATATTATTTTCCCGAATAGTAATATTGTTAATATTATTGTCTAAGACAGTTAAATTACTGTTGGAGACAGTAATTTAGCAGCCAAGGCAGTAATATTAATTAAAATAATTGTTTTTAAGAAAAAAAAAGTCAATTAATAGTTAAATTACTGTCTCCGACAGTTAAATAACTGCCGGAGACAGTAATTTAGCAACGAATAAAATAATATTAATTAAAAATATTTTTTTAAGAATAAAAAAATCAATTAACAGTTAAATTACTGTCTCCGATAGTTAAATAACTGCTGGAGACAGTAATTTAGCAACGAATACAGTAATATTAATTAAAAATATTTTTTTTAAGAATAAAAAAGTCAATTAACAGTTAAATTACTGTCTCCGACATTTAAATAACTGTTGGAGACAGTAATTTAGCAACGAATACAGTAATATTAATTAAAACATTTTTGATGAAAAAAAAAAGTCAATTAACAGTTAAATTACTGTCTCCGACAGTTAAATAACTGTCGGAGACAGTAATTTAGCAGCCAAGACAGTAATATTAATTAATATATTTTTTTTAAGATAAAACAAAATTATAAAAATAAAAAAAAAGTCAACGCCGGAGACCAGGCGGTCAACGACAGTTGACCGGCCGGAAAAAAAAATTCAGGGAAAAAAAAATTTCAAAACAAAAAAAGTCAACGCCGGAGACCGTCGGTCAACGGCGGCGACCGGCGGTCTCCGGTGGTGGCCGGTCAAAATTGAGGTCAAAATTAAAATAATGGTTAAAATTGGTTAATTGATGAAATTGGGCTAAATTAGGGTGTAAATCATGAAATTGGAATTGAATTGAGTTTCAATGAATTGGGGTAATTTTGGTATATATAAAAGGATTTTCCTTATTTGCAAATAAGTTTGAATGAGTTGGATTTATTTAAAAGACAAAAAAGTTGGATGTCCCTCTTTTAATTAAGTGCCCTTGTCATGGGCTTTTTTGTGATTTGCCCTTAAATCAAACTTTATCAAAAATAAATAATTTTTTAATAAAAAATCAGTTGGTTGGCTATTTTTAAAAACATTGTAGCAACTACGAACTGACGTAACTATACATCGGTAGGCTAAAATTATCATCCCGAGTTTAATGAATTAGTCGATAGTTAAATGAATCGATTGTTTTTAAATGATGCAATGCAAGCTAGGGTCTCGACGGACATGCAAGGGAGAATTGTCCTGCATAATTTCAACCTTTGAATAAATTAAAGAAACGAAGACAATTGTAGGCGGATGGATTAAATGGCACAAAGAGAGAAGATCTTACTCAGTAGTTGGTCTTCCTCGTCAAATTCAATCCTCCTTAATATTAGATCGGGCTGGAATGCCTCGCTTTTGTAAAGGTTCAAGGATCACATGTTGTGAATGAGCTGGTGGTTAGGAGGCAACTTTAGTTTTTTGGATAATTGCACTCTTGCCCTTTTTTGGAGTCGTATGCTGAAGTTGAATTATACTGGTGGGCTGAATTTTTGAGGTTATTTCATAGCTACCCAAGCATGGGGACTGTTTTGCAATTACCGAACTCGCTGCATGGAGGTATGCCATATGTGGAGAAGCTGGACAAGTTTAATTTGCTTATTTGCAGTTTAACCTCTTGTGTCCCTTTTGGAATTTTCGAAGATGTTGTTGTCTTGGCACTAAAAGTTTTAGTTTATTTATTTTTTACCCCATTTTGGAGCTGCATTGTACTAGGCTCGTTTTTTATTTTTTAATACTATTGTAGGGGTACTTTTTTTTTTTTTTTCTTGTGTTAGACAGACCCATAATATTTTAACGAGGCCCCATACACTTTATCATAATAAAATAATAAAATCTTTTTAGCTAAAAAAAAATTAAGTAAAGAAAATAAAATAAAATAAATGAATCGATTGTCGGGTACGGTCTAAGACCGACTCATGAACAAGTCTAGTCTACAATATCTCAACTTAAGGTGTCCAATTAAAAAAAAAAAAAATCATTAAATTAAAGTAGAGGATGAATTGGTTCAACTCCCAAAGATTAATAAATAACAATTAATCAAATTATAGCCAAATTTGGTTTAAATCTTGCAAATATTTTTCGTCCAAAGTCTAAACCCACTTATGAGATCGGGCCGGTTTAAAAATATAACCCGGACCACGTTATCCGGATTACGGTGGGCGTTAAACGGGTCGGGTCGATTCGATATCAACGGTATAGTTTGACTTTTCATTTATAACCTGTCTAATACGGCGTCGTACGAATCATAATGACGAAATCTTTCCAATTTGCTGTACAGTAATTAATTAGTAACAAATCCTCAAACACTGATCCACACCGCTGCAGAAATCGAAGATCCATTGTGTTTTCATTCAAGAAAAAAACCCCCAAATAATCAAACCCCTATTCCCGAGGTAGAAATCAATTGTTGTCGTCTGTAATTGTAATTGGTCTTCTTCTTCTTCAATTTCTTTGTTTAATTTCATTTTTTTTCCCTAATTGTTTCAGATCTAAGGCCGGTGAAATAGGGAAGAAGTGTTATGATTGATAGAAATGGCGGATAATCATGTGAAAGAAGACGCTCCAGCTGGAGAAGATGGAGGGCTTTCTCCGAAGGAATCGTTTAATGGCGCTGCAGCTGACAGTAGTGGCGATTCAGTTGATCAGGTAGCCACTTTTTCTGAATAATTGATGGAGTTTTTTTTTTTCAATAATTCTGCTTTTCTGTTGGAATTTGAATATACTATACAAAATCAGACGCTGCATGTGGTGTAAAGTGTTATTTTACTTTTACATTTTTTAATGTAATGTGTTTGTTATGTTTGTTCAGTATTATTGTATCACTTTTTAGATGAACTAAAATTACTTTCCTGATATTGCAAGTCGGCTGTGTGATTTATCGATCTGCGTTTATAAAAATTTATCTGCGGATGCGGCTGATATGATGCACCTTTCGTGTTTTATTTTTTCGTCCAATTTTCGTTTTTTTTTTCTCCGTATGTGGAGGTAGTTTCATATTAGAGTTGAAAAGTGAATTTTCTAATTGAAGCTACAAATTAAGATACTGAAGTTCTGCAAAGTCAAAATCAAGATTCTAGCTCAAGAAGTGTTCCTTTAGCTCTCCGAACTAGGAATACAGGCGCAGGAACTTATTAATTGATAGGTTTACATAATACTTAGTCAAAAAGTGTTTATAGTTTGTAGCATTTGAGATATATTTATGTATATATATGTATATCTTATTCCTTTAAAAACAAAAGAATTTTTTTACTACGAAGGACAAAAGATGTACCATTCTAAGTAGACATAGAACACGTATATATGTACTAGGAATATAGTACTTAACTGCTGTATAAAGTAGATGGATGGTGACAAAAAGTAGGTACTCTCGATTCTTGCCTATTGCCCTTTACATTTTTTTTTCTTTGTTGCCAAATAAGTTAGACATACACTGATTGTTTCCTTTCCTCGTTCTCAGCATTTTTATGATATTGCATGATTGAGAATGTTAGCTGCTCCAGATTAAATGTTGCTACCTTAAAAAAATACTACAAAATTCTTCAATTGGGGTTGCTCACTGTTCCTATAAACGATATTCGATTATCCTGATTCAGCATGAAAATGTGTATTCATTCTCTCAGAAGGCACCGTCAGTAATTTGTCTCAGTTAGATTACTTTGTACACTTCGAAAAAAGAAAAAGGAAAAAAAAAGGCACATACTAAGCGTTGGGATACTGCCTTGCAGATGGATCCTGCATCCCTAAGTAACACCAATCCAGTAGATTCTTTCCGCAGTGAACCAACTGAGTCAACAAGAGATGATATGTTTGTTGATTGTCCAGATGAGATAGAAAATTCCGAATCTCAGCAGAGTTCTGAGGAAAAGCATACTGTAGAAGATGACCAATATAATGAATCAGACAGTGGGATAAATGTCCAACAACTGATGTCTGAGATCGAAGTGTTGCGTGATATGCTCGACAATACTGTTGCTGAGAAAGAAAAATCAGCAGTAGAATACGAGGTTCAATTTTAGATGTACCTCTCCTTTTTTTCTTTAATCTATTTATGAGTATCTTGGCCTGAACAAATCTACTTTCTATGCAGGAAGAAAGAGCATTTCTTACAAGAGAACTTTCCCAATTTCGTAACCAAATAAGGGTTTTAAGTGAAAAAAATAACAGTGTGGATGAAAATGCCAATGGAGTGGTTGATCATATTCAGACTATGGAATCTGGTGCCTCTTTGCACGAGATAATGGATGATTGCTCTAGATTCCTTAAGAGTGCTTTGGATGAACGTTTGCAGACCGATGAACAAGTTAGAGAACTCCAATCTGCGGTATATATGAAAGATCAGGATATTGGTTTCCTCAATGCAAAGGTTGCTCAGGCAATGGAGTCGAGTAATATTGCTCAGTCCGATTCAAATTTGAACCATGTGAATATGTCTCGGCAAATTGAGGTTCTGCTTGAGAAGGATCAGCAAATTGAGGAAATTGTGAACAGGATATTAGCTTCAGTTTCCCTGACGCACCACGAGGGAGATCTGTTGGATGGATCACTTACAGAAAAGATTTCCAGCATTGAGAAGTCGGTTACGTTTTTAGTCGAGAAGTGTAATCTTTTCGTTTCTGATTGTGACCAACTTCGTGGATTTTTAAACCAGGTTGGGTTGGATTTTGACACGATTGATGGCAAAGGAACTTTTGTTGCGGCACGTGATAAAATTCTTGATATCAGAAGCAAGGAAGAAAATCTGTACCAAAATCTGAGCAATTTAGAAGATGAGAACAGGAAATTGGTCGAACAGTTAGAGCAACAGAAATCTACAGTTGAAAATGTTAATGCAGAAATTTCAAGACTACGTGTAGAGGTTGAACAAGAGAAAAACAGGTATGCCAACACGAAAGAGAAGCTTACCATGGCTGTGACAAAAGGGAAGGCATTAGTACAGCAGAGAGATTCACTGAAGCAATCGTTGGCTGAGAAAACAAGCCAGTTGGAAAAATATTCAATTGAACTGCAAGAGAAGTCTAGTGCTCTCGATGCTGCAGAAAATACAAAGGAATTGATTGCAGAAAATACAAAGGAATTGATTGCAGAAAAGGACAAGATAGTTCAGAAATGTGGAGAAATATTATCCGAGATTGTGGCAACAAAAGAACTGCAGCCAACTGATGATATCACAGAGAAACTCAGATGGCTTGTAGACGAGAATAAATCACTGAGTGCTATATCTCTGCAATATAATAAACTGGCTGATGCATTATCGTTGTTTGATTTCCCAGAATCAGTGGCGTCCAGTGAATTAGATTTACGTGTCCGTTTTCTTGCAGAGTCATTTGATCTGTCCAAGGAAGAAGCTATTAAGTTACAGTCTGAGATAGCTAAAACAAAAGAAGCTGCAAATGGGGAGATTGACCATCTCACCGCTTCACTTTTGGCAGAAATGCAGGAGAGAAGCTATCTTCAAGCAGAAGTCGATGACTTACGAAACAAATACGAAGCTTTAAAAATTGAGATCGACCACTTGGGAACATCACTATCAGCAGAATCGCAGGAGAAGAGCTATCTACAGTTGGAGTTGGAGAGTTTGAGAGACAAATATGAAGGAGTTGTTCAAAAGGAACATCTCGTTTCATTGGAGAAAGATAAAATAGTAAGTTTGTTGATGGATGCATCTGGGCTTGCAAACGATGGTTCCGAAGAGATTCGTTCAGTGCACTCTGACATAACCATCACCGTTGATAGTTGCCTCGCAAAGATTAAAGAAAATATGTGTCCTAGTGAACCATCTCAAGTTCATGGGGAAATCTTTGAAAACGTGAAGAGTCTTCTGTATATCAAAGATCAGGAAATGAGTCTGTATAAGCTAATTATTGAGGAAGATATATTGGATAGAGTGCAGGTGAGTTATTTGTCGGGTGAACTTGAAAGAAAGACTGAAGAACTTAATGCCGTAAAGGATGAGAAGGCTGTTGTGCAGAGAAGTCTTGCACAGATGGAGGATAGATGTGCTTTACTGAAGGATAAATTATCTATGGCAGTCAAAAAAGGGAAGGGGCTTGTTCAAGAACGTGAAAATTTGAAAGGATCTCTGAATGAAAAGAACGTTGAAATTGATAGGTTGAAGTCTGAGCTGCAGCAAAACTTAGACAGAGATAAGGATTGCCAGGATCAAATCACTAAATTGTCAGTTGACGTGGAGCGAATTCCTCTGTTAGAAACAGATCTTGTTGCTACAAAAGAACGAGCAGATCAACTTGAGCAGTTCTTAGCAGAGAGCAATGGTATGCTTCAAAGAGTCATGGAGTCAATTGACGGCATCACTACTCCAACTGATTCATCTTTCTCAGAGCCCATAGAAAAGCTTACATGGATTGCTGGATATCTTAGAGAACAAGAAATTTTAAGGACAGAGTTGGAACAAGATCTGAGGGAAGTAAAAGATGAAGCAAGTTCCTTGGCCAGCAAGTTGTCAGAAGTCGAGGTGACGATTAAGTCACTCGAAAATGCCTTATCAATTGCGGAAAATAGCCGATCTCAACTGTTGGATGAGAAGAAAGAACTTGAAGTTTCCAAGGCATATCTGGAGGAAGAATTGCAGAAGGAAAACGAGAAAACTTCTTCTCACACAAGCAATTTTGAAAAGCTTTCTGCTAGCAAAAGTGCACTTGAAGATGCTCTATTACAAGCAGAGGAAAAGATTTCTACGTTCATGAATGAACGAGACACAGCTGTAGAAAGTAGGGATCTTGCCGAAGAGCAGCTACAGAAATTAAAGGATGACTTTTCCGACCATATTACTAAACTTGCTGATGCTGACAAAACTATTCAGTCCCTTGAAGATGCTTTGTCGCAGGCACAGAAGAATATCTCACTACTTTCTGAAGAGAATAGTAAGGTGCAAATTGGCAGTGCTGATTTGGACAGTGAGATAAAGAAAATCAGAGAAGAAGCTCATTCACATGCTAGCAAGTTTTCTGAAGCCTCCGTAACAATCAAATCACTTGAGGATGCGTTATTAAATGCAGAAAATAACATGGGAGACCTTGTTGAGGAAAAGAGAAATGCTGAACAGGAAATCATAGCACTTAAATCTCAGTTGGAATCGTGCATGGAAGAGTTAGTTGGAACCCGTGGTAGTATAGAGACTCGATTTGTGGAGCTCTCCAGTCAGCTTAACCATCTTTGGTTACTTCTTAAAGATGAAGCACTTCCGTTGCTACTTGGAAAATGTTTTGAAAGAAAGTTTGAGAGCCTAAACGACATAAATGTTCTACTCAAAGAAATGGGGGACTATTTCCTGGAAATGGACCCTGATATGCTGCAAGACAATCCGGTCACGGAGGTATGCATTTTGCTCGATTTGTGTATTTAAACTTACTCGTCGTTGTGTGGTATGCCTTTTAATGGACTCTGTCTGAATGAACACCTCTCTTTTCACACACAAATATGCAAAACGAAATTTAGAGAGGGAAACAAATGCGAACAAACTGAAAAATATTATTGACAATCCGAAGTTTGACCAAAGTACCCGAAACAAATACCTGAATTAGAGTTTCTGTATAATAACTTCTCATGACCACTTAAGTTGCTTCAATTGTTCCGATACAAAGCATATGCCAAAACCAAAATTAAGTTGTGGCTGTTATAACTTTTTAGTCAGTATAGCTTCAAAACATTCTTTGGTGTTTTCTGTCTACGAACTAGGATTATCAGAAAGAGAACCATTTTCCAGATTTGACGTTATGAGAGCTCGTCTATCCGAAATTTTATATCTGGTGTGGTATATTCTTATCAATGCCTCTCCTCTTTATGGTGGGGAAGTGTGTGTTTTTTTGTTCTCTAGTAGCTGCATTTTAAGTGTTTGCATGTCTTATCGTTCCTACCACTTATTGTGTCTCAAGAACTTACATTACATGTATGTGGAAATGTGTGTGTTTGTGTGTCTTCATATACCTTCAATTCTCTGTATAAGCTTTCCTGTTACTGTGTGATTATCTGATGGGTTCTCTCTCTGCATCTCTCGTTTTCCTTTTGTAGGATGATTCTTCTCTTCCGACAACTTTACCATCTAGCCTCGATATTGCCCTGAATTTGGACATATTAGACGATGAGGTGAATGCAGTTGATATTGAGAGCATCATGCTTTATATTGAAAAGATGAATGAAGGGTTTCATCTAAAAGGCAAGATAATGGCTGATAAATTTGGTAAGTTATCCACGCTTATGGATGGATCGATTGTATCTCTATTGAGAAGATTACACGTGACAAAGGATAGAGTAATAAGTATAACAAAGTACGCAAAATCTCTCAAACAACAAGTGGAGAACATCAACACAGATAAGCAAAGACAAGAAGACACTATAGCATCACTCGAAAGTGAGATCAGAGTTCTACTGTCTGCATGTTCTGATGCCACTAAGCAATTGGAGTTGAATGCACAAAATAATCTATCGGAGGTGAGATTTATCCAGGATTATGTGAAACTAGATGGCAGAATGTCCATGGATTTGGAAACAAATGGTGACGATGCAGCTGCAGCACTTGATACCGACCATTTGAAAACGGCTGAAAAGTTGTTACTTGCTACAAGACAGAATCAAGATCTTGTCAAATTGTTTAAAGATGCAATGAATAAGGTGACAAATATGACAGAAGATACGCGGAATCAAATGAAAGCAATTCAGCTAACCTGTGATGAAGTCTCGGAAGAAAGAGATTTGTACAAAGACAAAATCTCGATGTTGGAGACTGATCTGAGAGAACAGCAAAACTTGAGCCGTGATATGACAATTAAACTCGAGGATTACGAGGAAAAAGAAGATGAATTGAGGAAAAGAGAGGCGGAGCTGTTAACTTCATTATCGAAAGTTCATGGTACTTGGTCCTTGATATTGAAAACGTGTTAGCTTTTATTTCATTTGCTGCATGTATTGACCTTATCTGGTTCTTTAGTATTTACTTAATTTATTTTGTAATGTACCCTTTTTTTATGACTTTGTTTCAGAACTGGAAGATCCTCTCTTATCAGCATCTCAAGTAAAATACATATTGGAAAAGATGAATGAGGTTGAAGTTCCTGATGTTGCGCTCGCAGTCGGAGATTCACATGATTCAGCCGATGTAAGAAAGCTGTTCTATGTAATAGATAGCTACAATGGATTTCTGCAGAGGGTGAGCTCACTATCTCTTGAAAACGAAGAACTGCAATCAATTGCCGACAATCAGATTCTCGAAATTGAACATCTGCAAAAGCAACTTGAAGATCTCGTTGGGAACGAGAAAGACTCTGAAAAGTTAGACAAGTTGTTAGAGCTTGAGTCGGGTTTGCAGAATATTGTTCGCAAACTACGTGGCAGTGATGAGACGGATGTTGATCTAAAAGCAGATAGGTCAATGGGGCTAATGCAATTGCTTGACAAATTGGTTATGACCACAGTTGTGGAATCTGAGAGTTTGAAATCCAAAAACGAAGAACTTGGTGCCAAATTGTTTGGTGCCCAAAAGGTTGTTGATGACTTGTCGAACAAGGTTAAATTCCTAGAAGATTCTAATCAAACGAGAAATGTTCCACTAGAGATAGTAGAGCAGGGAAGAGGAACCTCCATAACTTCGTCTCCTCAGTCAGAGATATCAGAAGTGCAAGATATGGTATAATTTCCTTTTGTGCTTATTTGTTTTGCTATTCTTGCCCAAAAGCAGAAGGGCAGTATAGTAATTTTCTCAGTGTTGTGTGTTCGAGGGTAGAATAGTTCATGATAATAATAAGTTCGAAATTTGCAGGAAGCAATTGGTAAGAGCAATAATGCTCCTCATGTTCTATCTGCTGCCCACATACGTACAATGAGGAAGGGTTCGAGCGATCACCTTGCTATCAATATCGATTCTGATTCTGAACGTTTGATAAATAATAAGGAAACTGACGAAGATAAAGGTAAGATATTACGGGAGCTGATTTGTCGTTTGACGAACTAAGGTCTGGGAATTAACATTCTTTTTTTCTTTTTCTTTGCAGGTCGCATTTTCAAGTCACTGAATACATCTGGTTTGGTTCCTAGGCAAGGGAAATCAGTTGCTGATCGAATCGATGGATATTGGTAAAAATTGCACTGTATTTTTCTTAAAAATAAATCGATTATGAAAAAAAGAAAAAAAAAAAAAAAAAAGAACCCCGCTTAAAACTGTCAAAACTATAACTGGAAAAGTTTTCTTGAAAAACAACCGAGTAGTACTGATGGACTTAAAAACCTTAGATTACGTTATAATTCAATTTTAAAACTAATTTGCGTGTATATGTATTTCATTTTCGTTATTTTCTGACGCATATTTTACTATTTATTCAGGGTAACTGGCAGTCGAGCTTTGATGAATCATCCGAGGGGGAGGCTAGGCCTCATTGCCTATTGGCTCGTTTTGCATATGTGGTTGTTGGGCACTATTTTGTAACCCATGTGACAATACAATAGAAATAGTCGATAGATTATCATTCTTTCTTTCTTTTTTTTTTTCTTCTTTCACATACTACACAATTTGCATGAGATGTAAATGTTTATATCACTCCCCAATTTGATTCTCTGCAATCAAATATTAGGGATTCAGAGAATTTAGGACCAGATATCGTTCTCATGTTCGGAATTTGGCGTTGTCCTTAAAAAATAAATATTTGATTGATTTTGCCCGAATTCTTTTAGCTTTTTGTAGTTGATTTGTGCAGATTCAACATGGTGCTTAGATTATTTTGAGATGAAGATGTCAGTTATATTGATGGATTTTGCATTGTAAATTCCTATACGTGCAGAGGAAGTTCTGCGCCATGTAAAGTTGTTCGGTATGTTTTATTTACATTTCAAATGTTGGATTCCATTGTGCTGAATAGAGTTGGAATTTGAAATAAAAAAAATTGAATTTTATTGGTTCCTATTTGATTTTTTTGATTTTCTTTTAGGGTCTATTAGATATAACCCCCTTAAACATTCAAATAATAGGGGTAGACTCAAATTTATATTTGCCATTTTGATAACAGCCCAAACTTTTCCTAATTACATAATTACCCTCAATCAAATCCCACAAAATCCGTTACTTTACCTTTTGAAATAAATCAAATCCCTTCCTATTTTCCCATTAAATCACTATCATCCAAAATTCACTATCGAATAAACTGCAAAACTTCCCAGAACAACTTCCCGGTACGGCCGATTGAAAGGGGAAGACGTCTGCACTGCCGTGAAACGACGATTTTCGTGCACTCCGAGCAAGCTGTCGTAGGTACGTCGTCGCCACTCGCTGAATCGCTATCATCCATCGATTTGTTGATATGTTTTGGCTAAATCAACTATCACGTTTGTGTAATTGCAGATCTGTTATAATCGCATACCGAATTCGAGCACTAAATCAGTGATATTGCAACAATTGATGGGCAGGACATCCACCAGAAGTGATATCGTCGTTGGCCGCCGCCGTCGCCGTCACTGCTCCAATCTAGGGTTACTCAAATCTAGGATTACTCAAATCTAGGGTTTTGATAATTCTTCGGCCCATAGTTGATTAACGAGATGCATAGTCGAATTACATCTGTATTAATATACTATCCCATATCATTTAATAGACTATCCCACTGGTATAATTTTACTATGGATCTCGTTAATCGACTATGGGCCGAAGAATCATCAAAACCCTAGATTTGAGAAGTGACGGCGGCGGATTTGTGTTTTAAAATTAATAGACTATCTCATATCTTTTAATAGACTATCCCGTGTATCTAATTCGACTATGAGTTTAGTTAATTAACTATTGGAAAAATAATAATATATATGGAAACTGAATAATATGTTTGTTTGAAATACTAATCAATTAGGGTAATTTTCTTTATTATATGAAAACGATTAAGGTAAATAATAATATATATGAAAAAATAATAATATATATGGAAACTGAATAATATGTTTGTTTGAAATACTAATCAATTAGGGTAATTTTTCTTATATCATGTAATAGACTATCTTATTGATCTAATTCGACTATGGATCTTGTTAATCGACTATGGATCCCGTATTATTAAACCACATAGTATATTAATAATTTCAATATAGTACATTGATCTGCTATGATAGTATATTACGGTTATAGTAGTGATATGAATTGTGTTACAAACAATATACCACTGAAATGACAAGAACATTGAGAACAACACCAACGTAAAGTATTCCAACATAACCAATAAAATAGTACATTAATAATCTCATAATTTCAATCTAGGGTTTTGATAAAATACATAAAACACATCATAACACAATCAAACCAATATGTCGAGTTAAAACTCTAGTACATTAATAATCTCATAATAGTATAATAAAATGATAATGGTAGTATCATACGGTATTCATAATAGTATACTACTGTATTACAACGGTTTAAAACTTAACCGAAGTTACCGAGCCATTACATCGTAAACACCTCTTTATAGCAACCAACCCACCAAACCTCAACAAAATCCGTACGAAATTCGCCATCGAAAAAACCTAAAATCATGAAACAAAATAAAAAATGCAGAATACTAAAAAATGATTAAATAGACTGCAAATACATTTGAATGACAATACATTAATATCATCAAAAATAAACTTAAAATGCAAAATCCATATGCTAATTTAAAAAAGACTACGAACTATATTTTAATGTACTACCCAGCACACTTAAATCGGCTGTTATAAACAAATAAACCAACTATCGATCGGGATAAAAAACATGAACTCGACCACAGCGGACAATTATTCCGATTATTGCATAAACCAGCTACGAAGCTCATATAAAACAACTCTGGTCCGATCTGCGTGAACCATCCTCTTCTAACTCTGTCAATCCTCTTCCAAACAAACATCATCCGCCAAAAATAACGATGTATATATTAATATGATACGACATTAAAAATGCAGAATACTAAAAAATATATTAATATGATCAAAAATAAACTTAAAATGCAAAATTCATACGATAACTTAAAAAATACTACAAAATATATTTTAATGTACTACCCAGCGTCCTAAAAATCCGCTGTTATAAACAAATAAACCAACTATCGACCGGGATCAGACTCATGAGCTCCACGACAACAGACAGTTATTTCAATTAATGCGTAAACCAACTACGATGTTCATATAAAACAACTCTGGTCCGATATGCGTGAACCATCCTCATCTAACTCTGTCAATCCTCTTCCAAACAAACATCATCCGCCAAAAATAACGATGTACATATGACGGAATAATTTTGTTAAAAAACGTTCTACTTAATAGAATCAAGTATCAACACAACTCTTAAAAATTTCTAACCACCGTAATCGACAATCCTAGACATTGAGCGAAAAATAAAAACGAATAACGCATTCATACCCGGTTAACAACGTCCAACAACGAACGCTCAAATTCGATCCTATTTCAACGACGGTGCAGAAATCTTCAAAGACGATAAAAAACCGCTGGAACGCTCAAGAGAACCTTCGAAAAATATTGTACACGATTTGATATAACGGCCAATGATCTCACGTAATTTTATTCCGTTATTTTAGGCAACGTATCAGCAAATCTCAAATCACGTAGTAAAGGAAATAAATGCCGTTTAAAAATAAAACAGGGGTATTAAAGGAAAATTATATAATATATTTTGCCAAGTTGGCAAAATTGGGTCTATCTCAAAAAGGGGAAAAAAAATTGAATCTACCTCATTAGAAAATATGAACAAGGGGGTTATCCCTAATAAACCCTTTCTTTTAATATTTTTAATCAGAACAAAGTAAATTGCGAATCACAATAAGCCACCGTACAATTCCTCAAAATTGTGCAAATTTGTTGAATCACAATACCTAAGAGCAACTCCAATGGAGTTATTAAATGGGGTATCAAAACTCTTAACTGCCATTTTGATAATTCAATTTAGAAATTCTCCACTCCAATGGAGTTATCAAATGAGTTTTTATTTTGATATTTTAGTTTTTGGGATGTAAAAATACATCCGGAAAAAATAATACCAATTGGAAGTTACACAAATTAACCACCTAAATAACCAATTAGAAAATGACATGTGTTAATTAAAATATATAATCACATTATTTATTTTTAAGGGTAAATAGCACTTGACCCCCACGTGGTTTCTCTATTTTGCACTTAACCCCCATGTGGTATTAATATAGGCGGATAACCCCCTTGTGGTTTATGATGAGTAGCTTTCGTAAGATATTCAATAGTGAGTGCATTTCACTCGCCTAATTCGCAAGTGGTGGAGTTTTTCCTAGCTATAAATTTCTAAAAATACCCATTTTGCCCTTCTTGTATGCACCCCATGCTCATTTCTAATTTCTTTAAACTAATAGTTAAACAAACTTTATAAACCAATTTAAAAAATATGTGATTTAGTAAAATAAGAAAAATACATAAATTACTAAGATATGTTAACGCACGCACAAGTATTGGGCTTGCTTTCGGTAATTAGAAATTATTGTTTTCTTTCATTTTTAAAATTATTTCGAAACAAAGTCCTTTTATTTTACCGCCAAAATATAATGATAAAGGTAAAAATGAAAATTTCGCCTTTATACAATAAATCTTTGTGACATTCAGATGAACAATGACAATAAATAAATAAAAAAGTAAAATATGTATAACAACAAGATTCAACAAACAAATATTAAAATTAAAAACTTATGTTGGAGTTGTCATCACCAGGTTTTGCCTGGATACACCAGGTTTTGCTTGGATATAATCCTCCGCAATCACACATGAAATTTTGTTCATTATGTTATTTTCATATAATAAAATAATGTGAGCCCTAATTGTTTATCAAGTGAAGTAAACCTAAACAATACAAGTATGAGATAAATAAAAGGGCAAAATAGACATTTACCTCTTTTGATTACTAAAATTACCAAAAGCGACTCATCATAAACCACAAGGGGTTATCCGCCTATATTGATACCACATGGGGGTTAAGTGCAAAATAGTGAAACCACATAGGGGTCAAGTGCTATTTACCCTATTTTTAATTAGGAACTATTTGATAACTATGGTTGGAACAAATAATTTTTTTTAGGTATCAAACTAAAATATAAAATATCAAATAAATATTTGATAATTAATTTTAATATTTGTGGGTTGGAGTTGCTCTAACTGTACAACTCCGACAATGAAAGAATAAATTTTACTTTAATGGTAAGGTTTAAATTTGGGGTAGAAATAATTTTCAACAACTATGTAATTTTTTATGAACAAAAAATCGAATCTTCAAAATATGGTACTACGCATCGTCTCTGAACGGCAACAAGAGTTTGTCAAAACTTTTCCGTTTTCTCTTCTTTCTTCCCCCTTGATCTTCCGGTTTTTTCTCGTCCTTTGGTTTCTGTAGGCGCTACCAGTTGTCTTAAAACCAACTAGTGTTAGGAAAGACGCATTCGATTGTGGGTCGCCCATACTCGGCCCTCCACCATGTGGACAATTGTTTATTACACAATGTGCGACGTCGTATCAACAACATACAGTCCGTAATTAACTAAGCACATCACATCACTTGTTGATGGATTTGCTAACCACAAACTGCCGTTTCAACAATCTCCATTTCCACCCCTTCTTAGGTAATCTCTGTTCATCCCTATTTCAGATTCTTACAATCAATCAATCAATCCTCTTTGTTTCTTCATATTATTACATACTCGCACAATTTGCAGAATTATTTTAAAAAAATTGGGCAAATTTTATTTTTTATCAGGTAGAAGAGATTCGCATATTTGCGGCGGCCATAGTTCGCTAAATTTCTCCACCAAATTATTCTCTGTGAGTCTTCAATTTCCAGATTTGTCTGTTCATAATTCAATTTCACTATTTTAATTTTATTTTATTTTATTTAAGGGATATGGAGATAGAATTCAGGCATTGGGTGGTCAGAATCAGACCAAAAAGTCAAGAAGAAAAAGAGGAAAATTGCAAAAAGGGGACAATGATTTACTGAAAAAAGAGCAAATTTCAGATGAATATGATGTTGTTTTTGAAGATGGTAACAAAAGGATTTCTTCCGATAATTCGGAGATTTTTCGAACATCCGTTATTTCGCCGTCATCAAGAAGTGCTGTTCTTCAAGCATGCACTGTCACTTCTGCATTTATAGCTGCTCTTGGTGTTCTAATTCGACAGGTACAATTCGGCGTGCTTTCTTGAAATTTACGTTCGATTTCGTTACTCGTGTTATTGCATTCGATCGAAGAATAGTCTGAAATATAGTCTAGGTTTTCGAAATATTATAGGTGTCGCACATTGCATCCGAGGAAGGGTTGACCGTTGTTGACTGTTCCGCAGATATAACATGTACGAGATTGAGTCTCACTAATCTTTCCATTACCTCGATCCTGCGCTCTTTTTTAAACCGTTCGTTATTTCTAACAATTACCTAAAGATCTTTTTTTTTTTTTTTTTTTTTTTTGTTGTGCAGTTAGTTTTGAACTATGGCATCTGGAGTTGATTATGGGATCGGTTATACTTGTGTCTTCGTCTCGTTTCTTGCTGTTGAAGATATGGCCGGATTTTGCAGAATCTAGCGAAGCAGCTAATCAGCAGGTATGTATATATATATATATATATATATATATAT